TGTTCCTTGGAGGGGTGAAATAAGTCACGACCACTTCGTTCCATATATTTCACAACTTAACCGTTCTCTGTCGTTAACACTGTGCGTAACCCGTGCAGTAGACGTTAAATAATAATAATAAAAAAACACCCTCCCGTGACTTGTCGCCCTACTACGAATAATGCGATTTTTGGGGAACACAAACTGAGTTATGTCGTGGCCTGTTTTTCCCTAATTCTGTATTTTGAATGGAAACGTTTGGGTGAGACACCCAGACTCCAGACTGCAGGCCGGGACTCCAACTGGTTACCTTCCATATAGGTTTATTCGAAACATCGGTGAACTTCTACCAGGCTACACGGCATCACATTTCAAAAGATGTAGTCACACATCGAGATCACATGCGCAGTGCCTGCAGTTCTGAAACTCCCTGTAGTTTCTAACCCTAAAAATGATCTGTAACTGCGCAGTAGCTATTCTGAGACACACCCGCTCAAGTGGCCAATAGCAGCTCAGCCCCCTCCGGGACGCGGAGCACTGACCCCCACTCCAACAAGAAGGGCACATGTGTGGGTACACTGCTGCCCCTTCAACCTACAAACACGGACTGGCATGATAAATGCACAACAAAGTTTAGTTATGAAACTTAAAATGAAGAGGCCACTTTGGAAATGTACTCGTAGATGGCTGCATAATATTACAAGCAGTTCTGGGAAGAATTGCCTACGTTCCTTTCATATGACACGGACCGCATAGAAAACGACGCCTGCAACAATTGTGTTGCCGCGGTAACGTGTTTACTGAGCCGTTGCCTAGCAACGATAGAAGAGACACACGTACAGACACACACACACAAACTGATGGGAGGGATTTACGAAGTACGCCGTTAAAATGGGCTCAGGTGCCACGATATACATACCGAATTTCATAAAGATTGGTTCAGGCAATCAGAACTTGATAGGGTGGGGCACACACAAACACACACGCAAAACCTCGTTCATTTTTTTTTTTCAAAATATGGGAAGAAGGCTAAAAATGGATCTTAAATCCGGTAAGCAGCTACAGAACTGCCAGACACTGTTCCCTTCTGTTGCTGAAACATTTACACCGAAGACTGTTCAGAAGCACAAGAAGATTAGACGCATTCTTCGCGTTGCTCCTCCTGACGGCCTTCGAGAGCGACATCGCCAGCTGAAGTTCCCGAAAGCGAGAACAGACGTCAAGTGTTCACTTCTCGGATACAGTTCAGTGAAACCCAATCACGGTAGTTACCCACAGCGGCGGCCCGGGTTCGATCTCATGTCAGTCAAGTGGGATTTGTGGTGGACAATGTGGGACAATTGTGTAGGAGGAACATTTCATAGTTACTAACGAATGAACCACACATAAAACGAGGAAGTATTCTGTATTCCGATAGGCAAACAGCTTACTGTTGCGTCACTCATGTTACTTCTGCTCCGGAACTGTGTTCAGAGTTATGTCACTGTTGCTCGTANTGACGAGCGGCCCGCGCGGTGGGCGCTCCGGTGAGCGGGGTCAGGGGCAAATCGATACACTCCAACACTTACTACGTCTCAATGCGACGTCATCCCGTATATTATTCTGGAACTTCCTGACATGGCCAAACGGTGACCTTTGTGTGACCTCTGTGAAAGTGCTCCAGAAATGGAGCAGGCCGTAAGTTGTCTGCAGTGTGTATGCGTGCGTGCGTTCAAAACTTCTCAGCGAACTGGCAACAGCTCTGCATTAGGCCCAAAGAGCGTTATTATGGGCTTCGTTTGGCTCCTAGAAGAGGAAACTATTGCTTTCATAAACCATCCGACCCACTTTTCAACAGAGATGTGAAGGTACGAATCGAATCCTGAAATACTGCGCTTCGCCTGTGCTCCTGACACCTATGAGCCAATGAACTTGTTCCTGTTATTTACATAATTTACCCCAAAACGTTTAGCGCAAAGCCACATCCTTCACACGGATCCAAAAGTCTGACGCCATGACGGATCACAACAGCCCAGAACGATGAAGTACGAATCTAACACAAGCGGAGCGACCAGACCCGCCATTACGCAAGCATAAGCAGTACTTGTATTTAAATAGGCACTGTGAATTCTTGTAGCTTGAGTTGCGGGCGGGAGGGGTACCTCGTGACGCTTCCGAATCCAAAAGCAGCGGCGCTTGAACGACGCCAATGTGTGACGTCATCGAGAGCGTCTGTCAAAGGGCGATCTTGGTATTATTTATCATTCTGGATCACATGGCTGAGGTAACTGGCCCCAGTCATGCACAGTCCATCAGTACCGAACAGCGCGGAGTGATACAAAAATTCATCTCCAATCACGCAGATAGAAAATTTGACAATTTCACAGTAAAACTCTTTTGTACAATGTTATCCGTTTCTCCGTTTCTGGCTTGGTTCCTATGCGACCATAACCGGTTTCAGTGGAAAAGTTGTCTTATGTCCATCGTTGCTTCATTGCTTGGCAAATGGTTAGTTCATAAAGCAATCACTATGAGGCGCTACGGTGGTAAATAGTATTGTAGCATGGCGCCTGAAAGGCAGAATATAAGAGTCAGAAGAGACGGCAGTTGCTAGGCAACGTCTATGCAGAGACAAATACACACACAATAGAAGAACTGTCGGAAGCGGTGTTTTATACGCGGTCCATGAAGAGGCTATATAACGAGACAACTGATTGGCGGTGTACCGCCAGACGTAAAGTAACTGTGAAGTAAGTTAATTAGTCGCCAGCCAGCGCGAACGTGAGCCCGGAACTAGAGGAATATCCACTGTTAGAATAGAAGCCGCTATCCAGCAAAGACTAGTGAAGATGTAACAGGTTCAGAAGACTTTGTGTGTGTGTGTGTGTGTGTGTGTGTGTTCAACGTTCAGTAAACCCAAACCCCGTGTCTAGTCATTAACACCTGCCAATATCGAGTTGGCCGACGATGATTATACGCAGAGAGTTTCGTAACAAATAAGCAATTTCACTGCTTCAGTGCAGTTTATTTTAACAGATCTTCGGGAGCTGGACGGACGCTTTCACAAGTACAAAAGTCTGCCGTGCCAGTCCGTTTTTCACCATATTTTGTCGCTTCGCTTTACGGAGCCATCGGAGTCGAGTACCGTGAAGTTCCAACGAGGCTTCGCGTTACTGTGGCCAGATGCGAACCAAGAACCTCTATCGGAGATCCACGACACCACAGCCACGTGGACAGCAGAAGGAAGGCGGGCGGTCCTGTTCAACTCGCCTCTCAAATATCGTGATACTGGCTAACGCACGGAGAACGCCCGGCAAAGTACCAGCACAAATCCCGCTTTAAGCATGGATGCCGACACAGACCTTACGTTTGACTGATCCCCATGTAGGGAGCCGTATGCATCACCTAAACAGGAATTTCGAAACAACAGCGGAAATGTGTCACGGGAACGTACGGCAACTTCTCCTCCGTGTATGTAGTGCACGCAGCCTTACACAAGGGGAAACAGTGCTCAGATATTGGCTCCGTTGGGAAGCTGATGGTTTCTCAGATGGTCAGTAAATTCCTAGCCATATGCAGAACCTGAACATTATTATGAATTCGCAACTGTACCCAACCGTGAGTCAGGTGAACCCGGTCCGCAAACACACACCCAATTTCCTTACCACTTTAGAGGGTTCAAATTTATCTAAGTAATGTTGCAAAATTCAGTTGCTACGTCAGAGAAAAGGGAGCCGGGATACCTTAGTCGGTATAGCGACAGGCCACGGGGTTGATGGCCTGGGTTAGATTCCTGGCAGCGACAAGAAATGTTTCCCTTCTCCACACCATCCAGACCGGCTCTGGGGCCCACACAGCCTCCTATCCAATGGGTACCGGGGGCTCTTTCCCAGGGGGTAAAGCAGCCGGGGCGTGAAGCTGATAGCTCATCTCCAGTGAATGCCCAGATCACGAATGGTGGAGCTACGCCTCCACTACCCCACGCGTCTTCGTGACTTCTTGTTTAATTACTTCAGCAAAGGAACAACTTTACCCTACCTCAGAGAAAAGTCACAATGTTTTCATTGCGTAGGTCAACCGGCAAGTGTTGCTTACTGTGAGAACCATAATGTGGGGTTCCTTAATGTTAAAGAAAGTGGTACTCTGCTCTAAGGGTTACTGTACATCAGGAGATGTGCAGCGGGTGGCTGGTGGGGGCATGGAACTATGAACCTATAGAGGAAGAACAAGGGGATGCAAGGATGACGAATCCGGGGCCACTACAGGCATTTAAATACATAAATCCTGGCAACAATAAGTGTAGATAATACCGCAAAACAATAGACGTCCTACACACCCCCCTGCGCATATGATCGATACAGAAGGGCATTTCCCCAGAATTCTGAATCAGGCGATTCAACACGTGACAATTTTTTTGGGGGGGGGGCGTAAGTGACAAGGAGCAGGAACCGCGCACAGAGATATGACCTGGTCAGACCCCCAACTTGCATCGCGTTCAGTACTCCCGTGTGACATCACTCCTCACTTGCATCAATCAAAAGGATACGGCTTCGAAACCTTATTTCACAGCGTAATGCGATCGAACAGAAATCAGAGAGCGGGAGACATTCGAATCAATTACGTGCATTACGTAGCAAATGACACGTCCAACTCACGAACTGTAGACTCGAGTAAACAGCGTAACTTATACTATACAGGGTGTGCCAACTTGCAATAAAGAACAGGCCTACATCGGCTTTCAGTGAGATCAGCGGCATCATAAAATTACTGACTGAAATGTTCGATTCTCTGCCAGGTCAGAGTTTCAACAGCTTGTATTAACACAACATCAATTAAAGTCTTAAAGGAGGGACTTAATAAAAATCAGTACATGCCGTATTTGCCAGAATATGGCGCGAAATTCTTGCCTTGAAACAACACTTGCTGAAGAACTGAACACTTTCTTTTCGCGCATGCTCAGTTCTGTTATGAAGCCCAGCAAGAACAATGGCTGAATACAAGGATGAGGCGTGTATATCGGAACATGAGGTGCATGTACTCACATGATGCTGCGTGGACCGAACGTCTTCCCGCGTGTAAATGGGTGCGTCAAGGTCAGTCACAGAAGATGATATAGACGTATTCCTGGAACGTCGTCCGGATTTGTCCGGCACCTGCAGCAGAGCGAGCGACTGTGCTGCCGCCTGGGGTCGCAGGGGGTGGTCCTCCTCTATATAGCCCACCCCATAATCTTCCTGATCCATCGCCTCTACAAAGAATCATACATTAAAATATACTTTTGCGGGATCCAGAGAACCTGGTGAAGTGTTCCGTTTTACACACGTAATTAGATCTAAACGGGTGATCGATGTGAAACACCATCCGAACGGAAAACATATTTCATATCGCACTGAACAGTTCCCGTTACCAAGTAATGTTCTATACGACAAAAATAAATAGATGAGAGCGGGAGAGTGAAGCAAATAATTTAATTTTATGTAGGATTGACGTTAAGAATGAGTGGAGCTCTATCTCCATACCCAACAGGGCCAACACTGTTCTCACAAGCTCGAGGTGGCCAGGTGCCAAAACACCAAGCGCATCGGGACGAGAATAGCTAAGATGTACGGCCAGACGCGTTGCTGCAGCACTCGGGCTCCACTCAACCCACTTCACATTATCGCATTTACGTATTAATGTTATCCCCCCCGGTATGCGAACCAGTCCCTAGCTGTCTCTTCCGTTGTGCTTTTCGAGCCAAAATGTTATGTTTTCATCACCATTCTTGACTCAATGATCCCCCCCCCCCAAAAAAACAAGGGGTCAAGAATATATATAACGTATGGTTCCTCATTATGTAATTTTCTCCGTTCGAGTTTTTTACCCTCTCTCCTTAATATGAGCATAAAGAGCATAAATATTCATTTTGTTTCGAGGCGTTTCCAATGGTGAAGCAACGCTGGGGGGTAACGATGTTGTTCCAAAAACGAATCAAACTTCTGCGAACCTGTTGCACCCCTTATGTACCGATTCCTGTATCAGAAACCCAAGACAAAGGAAGACATTTCTAACCGGTTATTACAGTTACACAGGCAGAAAGCCAAAGAAACAACTGCCTACACAAAACAACGAAAAGTTTACGAAGCTTTCTAAACTGTCGAACGGTTTGGGGTATAGCACGGCTTGCTAGATTGGCAGTTAGTTGTTTTAGATTTGTACTCTTCCTTCTACAGATCCAGTTCACTAACAGCAAAACACTATCTACAAAAACGGCAGTGCGTTGATTTTTGTTATGAAAACAACTGAAAGATGAAATTTTCTGTTCCACCTGGTGTTTGTTATGTAATTCATGAAAATGATTTGCAACGTAGTTTTCTGCTACCAAAACGGGAACAAACGCTTCCTGAATTCCAAGACTGTGACGTGACTACATTTCTTGTGGCTGCACCAAGATTCCACTGTTAACTGATTTTACTGATGTCATACAAACCTGCACTAATTTCGCTGCACTTTACGGGCACTAGCGCACACTTTCGCGGCCAGACAGCGACTTGAGTTCTGCGAGAACCATTCGCGGGCCCAGGGCCAAAATAAGAACGCACAAATGAAGGTGACACAAGGCGTTCCGCAAACCGAGCACCGATAACACAAGGCGAATCGAAATCGAACCCCGGTTTTGTCAGAACCAATGATTTTGGTGACGAAAGCAACTGACTGCTCCTTGCAACAAAATGTGATGTCAGAATTTTGAAAATAGAAGACTTCTGATTTAAATAAAAAAAAAGTCGGATTGGGGCGAACATAAATTAGCAACACGTACGGGTACATGACCTTGCCTAGCACATGCCCTTTGTTTATTTACTGTTTCTTTAACGAGCTGCACGACTCCCAGAGTCGTGAGAGAGTAATAATGGTTCACGAGTCCTGGGGGACTAGGAACCAAGAACGACTATGCTGGCGAGGGCCAGCAGCAATTTACTGGACGGGATACTCTCAGTATTTGAGACTACACAGCATCGAATGGTAGGACGACCAGTGAATAATAAACTGGGAAGGGTGCGGAAAGAAACCTGTAGCAGCCCAATTTGAGTTGCTATTCGGCTGAAGGGACGGAACTATTAACCAGAAGAGTCTCCAGCCCGCGATGTTCGAGTGGCGGCGCGAGTTGCAACGACCGTTCCCATATATGGGGCCCAACGCACTTGACGCAACATTACAAAACTCTGCACTTTGCTCACACGGTATATTTGTGTACTTCGTGTGATACTCGTGAAAAAAAAAAGATAAAACCAGCGTACGTAGTTCTCGTAACGAAGAAGTAAGCTTTTCTGTGAGTTGGGAAATTCATTTTTAAACAATATTTACGTGAATTTAGAGTTCCAGAGAGATAAACAGAAACCACTGCATTACGTAATTTAAGTCTGTAAGTGGGCATTCTATTTGCTCAAGACTGGCACCGAGGCTGTCAACCTGCTTGGGATCCTGGAAAACCTTAACCTTTAATATGCATGCGTTCATTCTTTTCCAGACAACCGTGGACTCCAATCCGGCTTACATCACGTATTTCGATCACCACCACAATAACTCTCACCCGGGGCGCTGCCACTTGCTCAACCCCCCCCCCTCCACGCAAACCGAACACTCCTGAGGACTAATCCCCAACAAGGGGCGAACCCGGCCAAATATGTTGACATCTGTACGCCATTAACGACTCGCAAATCGATCGCAGATGTGATACGGGTTAAAATGAAAGGAAAGTCGGGGCCGTAGGTCAAGGTGCCATGCCAGCATTCAGTACGAACTAACTCGCTCGGTGGCGGGCTGCTTCCTGACTGCATAAGTAATACGAACTGGGAAGAAACAGTAACTACTATCCCAACAGTTGTCCGGAGAGACTGAGGAAAACCAATCACAACATCCAGCCTCCGGAGGTGGAGCCTACGTAACACTGTACAGTGCGTTGCCAAGTTTCTGGTGACGCGCAAGTCGCGTGGCAAGTATTTATACCACTCAAGTGTGTAAGTGATGAATGGCGCAGCACATGCAACGTCGCCGTGCTGGTACAGTTCTGCGCACAAGCTAAGGACCTTCTTCGAAATGAATTCCTATGAAACCTGGTATACAGAAATTCCCAATGAAAACAGCTGGGCTAAATTAATTTTGTTGCGTGGCTGCTACGTCATCTCAGTGCCCTGGCTATGGGTTGGAGATCGGGGAATCGGGATTCGATTCCTGGCAGGGACAAGTAATTCTCTTTTCTGCCGAGTCCGGACCGGCTCTAGGGCACATCCAGCCTCATATACAATGGGCATGGGGGGGGGGACTTTCCCCGGGAGTAAAGTACCCATGCAGCTCATCTCGATGGGGTGCTTAATTAAGCACAATGAAAAATTTTTACCAACAAACTATAATCTTTGTTATTCTAAAAAAATCCTATCTCGAGATTTTGATGGATTTTCAACCTTTGAGTCCCCCTTTAAAGCTGTCGGTCTGTCTGTCTCATTAACGCATTAACAGATTTCATACAAGAGTTCACGTATCACAGGTTGATGTTCCAGTTACAAACCTGGCGTCCCAAAATACAAATTGGCGGTTTTCTCGAAAACGGTTATGACAATTTTGCTTACGTTTCATTTAACTATGAGGGGCCACCTCACCTCCACCTGTAGTCTCACCAGGACTGGCCTTGCCTGTCTGACTGACTGATTTAACTGTTGCTATGTATTCAGCAACCAACAATGCTCTATGTAAGAAACGATTTATGACCTCTTTGCTTATTTTGAAAAAAATAAAAGTAGGCTTATGAGATCACGCTGTCTGTGTATCGTCCCCCTAACAACTTTTGAATGTTTGAGCCAATCTTTATGGAACTTGGTATGAATATCATGGAACCTGAACTCATCTCAATGTCATCCTTTATAAATCCCTCCCACCAGTATGTGTGTCTGTATGTATATCCCTCTCATCATTGCTAGGCAACGGCTCAGTAAACATGTTCCCACTGCAAGGAATACATGCAACAACAGAACTGATGGACATGTCATTTTCTGTGTGGTCCATGTCATATGAAGGGAAAGTAAGTGCATCAGGCCCTGTGTCATGACAACCTCAGGCTCTGGAGGGACACAACTGGAAGCTCACAAAGCATATGTATGCAAGGACATCCTCGAGATGAAGACTGTGAAGATTTGAGCTGAGTCAAATGCATTCATGGGGGATTTTGTGGTAGGGCGATGAACAGGCAGAGAGCGAAGATATTACAGTGCAACTTAGGTTTATGAGAGTCACTTGCCAACAGATGGCACTGCAGGGCAAAATTTAAAAAAATGAGTCCTAACTGATCCTGGATACACCGTGTATCTGAATGGCCACAAACCACTGTTCTCTGCTGCCACATGCATGCGAAGGTCAGGACCGGAGACTGACAACATCTGCAATGAATAAGCAACTGCAATGGAGAGAGTCAACACGGCCAACTACCGCACACCTGTGTACATTGTGTGCCCATAACATTTCCACAGAATATTGTACTCTCAGTAAGACAAGACAGACTTCTTGAGAAGAATTGAGCTTCCACAGATCTGAACACACAGAAGGAACAGAAATGAAACAAATATTTAAAAACATGATTGATATATTATCACCAGCAGGGTGATGGATGCTGAGTGTGTGCTAACAGACTGACAACACTGGAGTGGGGCATGAGAAGAGGAAAGCTTTCAGGAAGACAGTAAGGATTGGCACACATGGAAACATCCCTTGACAATATTCAGATAATGAAGACAGCAAATGTCACGCAGTCCTGCTTCATAGTCAGGACGTCATGAGGTTCCCTTGGCTGTGTAGCTACTCAACCCCTCCTCCAGCCTAACACTGAGACAGAGCCTAGCATCCTTTGCAACACCTCAGACACTCTTCCAAGTTCATTAGTTAATGAAGCTGTCAGTATCGAGACCACACACTGTCAATGGTAGGATGATTAATGACGTGGAGATCTGAAGAATATCACAATCCAACACACTACACCACACTGCTTGCTCACCTTGCATGAAGAGACAGTCCTGAGAGCTCCATCCTTTCACACTGCTTCTCTGGAACACAGGAGGCAAGAACTTCAGTGTCACCATATCACATAACTACACGTCACTGCGAGGAATGTATAAACTTCTGGAATCTCTGAGTGAATGTAAGCCCACAGGTCTGTGATCATAGTGCAATACTAAACCAATACACATTTTGGACATTTTCCACTGTTTTAGTTTTGAATAAGCTGCCTCTGATTCTGTCACCACATAATATATCAGCACTTGATCTGCTGGGTTCATCGGATGAAAGTGATCTCTATTTTCCAGTCTGGCGACAGACATTACCTCCTTCCAATGGATCCAGCACAAAACATGATGGTGGAAAATGTCCAGCACATGAGCTACTCAGCTACATTTTGCAGTGTTTACTAACTGAAAGCAAAGAAACATAATGAAAGAGAAAAACTGTTTTTCAATTGCACATACCTAAGAAGTAATTCTTTCTTCTTTTCCGCCAGAAATCCAGACGCAACTGCCATGCAAAAGAGAGCAAAAGAATGGGTGTCACTTTGTATCACAGATTGCAAAATCAATACACACACATAAATATAAAAATTGTGTACGTACCTTATTTTGATAAGAGTCCAGTCTCTTGAGTAGAACCAGTGTTTCCATATCACAGTAATTATAATGCCAGACAGTAGCATCTAACTGTCACAGTGCTTAGTGCTACAGCAGAAGGCTTTGTGACTGTGCAATGGGTCACAAACATTTATTGCTCCCCAATATTTCTAACAGCCTTTCACTGACAGCGATACACATTACTACTGTGCACCAACCTCACTATGACCTCAAGGTTCCCAAATATGAACTTTATTAGCCAAACCATTCCAATGTTGAGTTTCTGGAGAAAACTCTATATGAAAAATGATGGACTTTTGCAGACAAGGTTCTATGTGAACATGGTCAAATCCTGGAGATGAGCTGTTTTGAGAAGAAAGTTGGGTTTTTGAGTAACCAAACTGTATGAGAACAAGGGCAAATGTTTATGGAGGCAAGGCTCTATGATATGAAGATCAAGAGAATTTAGAGACGAGGATCTATGCAAAGACATCCTCAAATTCTGGGGGATACCCAAGACATGTCAGTGATCAAAACAGTAAAGAAACAAAGCCACGGCACATCAGTCCTCGGAGTCTTAAGAAAAGCCCTCAAACTGTATCACACAAAGAAGAAAAGTCAAAGAATAACAAAGAGAGAGAAAACTTGTGGCTTCTGTTCTGTGTCTTGGTAACACTCAGCCCTATCCATTAACACTTTACACATTCAATAAATGTTTTTCTGGTACACTGTTCAGAAAATGGACTACTGCAATCACATGAGGAACACGGCAGATCTGCAGTACAGGGAACAGTTCTGGTGAGGTTCCATCAATAGGTTGCAGACAGTGGCACAGAAAATGATGACTGGAACTTGTGATCCACAAATCAAACATACCAGACAAAACTAAACTCAAATTACTGTCCATCTATTTCCTCCTCAAAACACATCTGCTTAGAACAATCCCAAAACTGAATCTACAGCACAGTTCAAAAGATCTGCTCTGCCAGCCCTGAATTAGTAAAGACAACATGTAACTGAGGTTACATGCCACTGAGGTTATCAGAAGCATAGACAATGAGGCCATAACCTGATATGGCTGATTCTCAGAACGTTAGCTTTACAGAGCACAAGTAATTCATAAAAATATTAAAGAGATGGTAATACTATTCAACCTGTAGCAGTAAGCACTCAAGATTTCAGTTTATATGCTATTCTCTCACATTTACATTCTCCTGAGTTCTTTAGTCGCATAATCACAAGGCACTTTCCACCGGTGCAGTCCCATTTCACATTAGCTGTATAATGCAACAGTATATTTGGTTTCTGATGACAACAGCAGCATTTCTTTACTACTAACTGGGCCACATCAATTTGTTGTCAAGTGACTGTATCCTTATGTGTCAATCAGGATAATTCATAAGCAAGGCTCAATAAACCCACCTATGTGCTCGTTCATGCTGAGTGACCAGCCAAGCTAACAGCCAAAGCGTCTCTGAATTTATCCTACAGACTGACCATGAACATGTAAGAGACGGAATGTGCACAGATCAAGTTTACAATACCAAGACTGCTGATCCAGCCACAAAGTTCCCAAGCACTGTAAACCATTTCTGCAAACTTTAAAAGAATCACAATATAAAAAGTTTAAAGAATTCCTATATTTTGAAAATTTGCATAAGTGACTTACAGTAACTTGGCAACTCAACAGCCATTTTACTTAAACATCTCTGTCCACTGCTTTGTTTCAAAACAGACATAAAAAGCAGGGAATTTTAATTCCACAGAGCAAACATGGGCACATCCCTTAATTGATTACAATATTATAAAGTGCAAGGCTGACACACAACTTGCTGCGGCATGCTGACAACACAGCTAATGTAAAGACGGGACAACTCCAGCTCTTCCTACATGAATGGGAACAAGCTTTAAAAATGTGCATTTCTCTGAACCCTAATAAATCTCCCTGAGTTATTTTTATCAGTCTTGATGATATTAATTTCCTCTAAAACTATAAATATACAAATTATCACTAACACTGACCCAAAAGTCTGTCGGTAGAGAACCTGATTTTTGGAGTTCATTCATTTAATTTCATTTCTGAATAACATAAATATGAATATACTTGCTTCATTTTCTGTGTAGAGGACTGTATGAGACTACAAGCTCTATGTCAACGTCATGATGTCAGCGCTGTCACACAGCTGGAGTACACCATGAATAAAAATCTCTTACATCCAAAACCACTCTGAACTATACTTAGGCCACAGAAAGAAGTCCCATGGTTGGTGGGGATGACAGTGCCTGCCTGCTGTATTCCCATTCAATCCACAAAGTGCTTGTTGCTAGTGAAGGTCATCATGTGGTTATCAGTACCAACATTCATGTTAGAATAGTTAGATGCAGGGAAGTATGCTGGAGTGGGCTGCGGGGTATAAGTCAAGGGAGATTGAAGGAGTTGGTCCATGGAACATCTTCCCTTGGCCTCAGTAAAGCACTTGATATATTTAATAATAAAACCCCAAAATCAGGTATCTTTGTTAAATCACAAGCCTTAAAATAAAGGCCTTCATCAGTATAAAACCAATAAAAAACATAGCAAAGAGAAAAGCTAATAAAAATGTCTTACACAGTTAAAATCATCTGAGATTTCTCAGATATCCACCATGATGCTGGATTGGTTACAGATCACAGAAAGAATATCACAGTCTGAGACAAATAAATTGCTTTGCTACAAGGCTAATTGAGATGTGATGACTGCAAACATTATGGACACTGATCTGATATTTCCCCTAAAAGAAAAATGACTCGTCTGAGAATGCAGTGTCATGATTTAGTACAATACAGACAGAAGACTATTGGAATTCCACACCCACAGTCCTAGAAACAAAGGAACGTTTTCGAGAGACATCTAATAATGTATATATAAAAAAAACATTTTTGTCAGTCCTGTTTTCTATCACATACTTGAGATAGGATCCAACAGATATTACAAAATTTAATCTTTACTCTTGCAATATATGTATGGTAGCCATGGATGTCAAAGTGATGTGGAAGGTTTTTGAGTCCTCACTCCAAATATGCACATAAGCTTTTATTTCTTAATATGACTATTATGTTCCCTTTGTAGTTTTAACTACTGCAAGTTGTAATAGTGACAAGGAAAGCAGGCATATTCTCAATGAAAAATGGGCACTTATGTTTGTCTTGTATAAAAAAGCAGACATAAACATACATACTGCAGTCTTCTGGGTTCTGACACCATGCAGTCTGATAAGTATGCACCAACACACTCGAGGAACATACTGCCTCCGCCTTCATGACAGACGTACCTACCAGACTACACGGCATCATAATTCAGAAGACCACAACATGAATCTTTATCACCACATAACTTAGATCTCTCGAATTCCGCAGTGCACTGCAATGAACATGGTGTTCAAAGTGGCTGCTGTGCATAGCCTCACTGAAAAGAAAATGTTCATATCTGAAGATTCAAGGACAGGCAATCTGTGTGAGCGCTCACTTTGGGCCTCAGTAAACTCTTACATTTCCTGACATTCTGACACTTCGCTGAATCCCTCAGTTGTTCAAATTCTAGCTTCAAGAGTCGCAGAAATGCCACAATAAGTGAAACAGGCTTCATACTACAGAATGCTAGAAGGTGATTTTGTTTTCTTACACCAAAGAAAGTGTTGTGAATGCAATAATCCAATGACAGCTGACAAGGTTTAACGTTTAAGAGTAGACTGGATCACATTCAATTAGCCTTGCAATGCTCCTCCTATTTGGATCACTCATCTCTTACACACTATCAGGACATTGCTGCAGATATGTGGATGCTAATGGCAGTGACTTAGTTTCACTTCCTGTACCCATACATTTAACAGAGCTTTCAAATTCATTGCACATCTTATGAAAAATTAATTAATTTGGAGTCAGTGTTGTAATATGCATTGCCACAAGCAGAGATGATGGCAGAGGAAACTACTTAACAAGAAACCTTGTGCGATGCAGCACTGCCTTCAACTCTGCGACCAAAAATGGTTTTCAAACCAGGATGCATATACTGATTGATGTCTTGCAGCTTGCAAATGCACAAGAGCATCAGCCTGTGGGCCTGTGGAATGTACTGACTGTCAGGAAATGGGGTCATGGACTGTAGGGTACAGGACAAAACAAATAGCTGTCGTCCCAGATCAAGAACGAAGAAGATAAAGACATCAGAACATACTGATATAATTCTCTGGAGTAAAGAGAAGACCATACATAGCAGCATCAACACATTCATCGTACAAATGTTGTGTGGGATATTCAGTCCTGTTCTTCATATAATAGAAATAATAAAACCAAGTGAAAGAGTCAAAAAAGTAAAAGCAATATACATCAAAAGGTAAGTTAAACGTTCTTTTCATCAGTTCTCTGTTCCCCTGTCAGAAACTTTGTGATCTGAACAATAACACTCTTTCTAATCTCGTTCATTCCTTCCTTCAGAACCCATGTTATTCTTCATTGGTACTTGTACCATGCCATGCCTCTGCTCGTGTGATGATCCTCCATTCGAAATATGAACAACTGTTGCTATTTTACACTCAGACAGTCATCTGACTTATAAGATCCCTGCATTTGGCCCAATATGTCATGACAGGAACATGGGCAACTCACTGACTGCTCAGAATTTTCAAACATACCCACTCCTTATACAACTGATTTGTGACTAATTCAAATGGGTTGCGACTTGACTATACAACATTATGGAAAACACAGGAATTTACATGAAGATTCAAAGCTTTGTTTCACTCGCTGACAGCCAAGAACCTCAAATGAGTACAGCACAAAATAAAAGACTATCAACAGAACAGAGTCAGTTCTTTTTATGTGACAGTACATCATTCAAATCATGAGATACTTTATTATGAGGAGCTTCACATCTTTGGGCACTAACTAAAAGAGGTGGAACGTAGAATTCACTGCTCGGTAAGAGACATCCCGATAACAGCGAATAATGGCAGAAGAGATTAGACCCTGGAACGTACAGCAGGGGTGTGGACCAAATCCCACTTAATGATTCAGTCCACAGACTGGATGACATCAACTGGCAGCAGAATTCATTTAAAATCATCACAGCTATATATACATATACAGATATAGCAAGTAAATGCAGCACTCAGAGCAGAGATAGAACAACAGTCACTGCTGGCAGACTGCGAAACTACTCCCTCAAGAAGAGAAGATGGCAATATGCATTTCGCATAAGGACCAAAAATTTCAATGTAAATCACAATGTGACAGCACTGTGCAGGGCACAGCAGGATCACAGGAATTACTGGGGGATTAGGGAAACAGTGATCAATGAGAGGTCAATGATTTTACGTTGGTAGCGTTTGTAGAATGTAGCAGCTGATGTTGGGTTGGTGAACCTGAGAATGGCACATCGCTGCTTCGGCAACATCTGAATATTCTGCAAGACAAGAAGAATAAAGACCAGCCAATTACAGTGAATGTTAAGGATGATGACTGAATAACCACAACATGGCCCATCTTCTAATCTTCCATCTCTGATCTCAATGACAGAGAACAAAGTTCTACAATCAAGAAACATCGTTTCCGTGCATCAGTCATATAAATGCTGGCTAACATAACTGGAAAAATCAACTTACACTCTATTTTTCTAACATTATACACAAAAACCTTCAGTACGTGGCAACACAATCAGCTTCCATGCATATATTTTTGCAGTGTAGGCTGGCATGTATAATGGATGACAATAGGGAGTGCCATTGTGAGAGAGTTCCTCAGGAGGTTACTTCAAAATACTGAGGTTAATTTGCCACCAACAGCCAAGGCTAAAGGAGACATTTTCACCATTTCCTGTGTTCATTAAAACAAACTTCATCCTACAATTTTCTGCTCTAAAACATCATCATACGGGCCACACTACACATGATAACACTGGGGAAATTATCCACCATGAGAATATTGACCATATATTCTTTGGGCAAAGAAATGAAGGATGAGACTGGCAGGACATGTAGCATGCACAGCGTAAATATGAAGTGATAGAAATTTCTCCTGGAATCATGTCATGAAAAGAAATCACGTGGGAAACAAAGGCACAGAGAGAACAATAACATTAAAATGGATCTTTGAGAAGTAGGTGAACTCCCATGACAAGGTACAATTAGGACAAATGTTAAGTTGGGGGGAATTTCATGAAATGTTCAGCAAACATCCTCTATCAGTGGTGCACATAAAAATTTCTCAACTGACAGTCCACAATTCACCACACACACCAGTCACTGTTTTATAAAAAATTGCTATCTTACAAGAAGGAACTTTTGGCATTTGTTGTTCCCTGTTAGCAACTGCAGAGTTTGTGTCGGACATTGCTATTCCCTTTGATGCTGTCCCTCTGAGGCATTCAGTGGCAGGAACTAGATCCAAGTCTTGTGGGTGGCCACCACATCCCTCAGAGCTCAGCTGTTTAAGTCACATGTTCGGAAGACTGATATGTCAGATTAAATCATTTTGCATAAGCTCATGTATAATTCTAAATTTCACTGTTCAATAAGTGATTATGATTTCTCTTCAATTTTAATACCACATAAAGGCATTAATATTTAAATCTAGTTTAGACAACAGTGTAACTTTCATATCTCCTGTTTCCCACCATGGACCCAACAAAGTAACCCTCAAATATATTAAGACATTTATGCCATGCTCTTACAGATATGTACAGTAGCCATGGCTGTTCAAGTGTTGTGCCAGTACTGGGGTTGAGTTTTGGATGCAATTCATATCCTCATTATCAGTATTTTGTTTTTAACTTCGTGAGTAAACTCTTTCTCTTGTAAACTTGCAGCTACCGTCCAGCCAGACATATACGAACATCCTGACTTACCTCAAGGACCCCAATGCCCTGACAGAGGGATTTCAACTGTTGCTCTGTTGTGCTGGCTGCCAGATTCTCAATTGATACTGTCTTGGTTCTGGGTACTGCCGGCTGCTGAGCTGCTGCCTCCGGCTGCTGTGGGGTCATCACCTTTGTTGCCACAACAGACCGGCCACCACCCTGCAAGTCCATCACAGTACTTTTAACTGTAAGCACCACTTGCAATAAATGTTTTTCTTCCTTATGTAAATTAACCGCTACAGAAAGTGACACTGGTTGTCATGCAGGCAGGGTTCTAGAACTGATGTGGTGGCAGCAGGAATCAAACTTCAGAAACTTTGACACTGCTCCCAGAAGAGAACCCAACTGACCTTAACACAGATCCAACTGGAAATTGGATTTTTAAGAGAAGTTGACTTCATAATTTGCTAAAAGAATTATAGCTAAAATGACCACAGTGGTTTGGCTGTGTAAAAAGGATGGATAGAATAACGATGCTGAGGTTATTTGAAGGGAAGAGACCTATGGAATGATCCGAGACAAGACGGCTCAGCCAGGTACAAGGAAGCATTGTAACAGAGGAAGGAGGCGCAAAGGAACAAAAAAGAAAAAAAGATTGTGAAAAAAGAGAAAAGAATAAAGTCATCTCACTGATCAATCTTTTGACAAAGGGAACTATGCCAGAACAAAGTTTTTAGGACTGAAGCTCAGGGAATTAACTGAACCAATGTCTTCATCCCTCACCATGCAGAATCTGCAACTGGAAATGCAAGGCTCCATATACTGACCGCTTGTCGCGATGGTGCCCCTTGCTGTTGTGCCACGACCCTCTGCTGCTGCTGCTGCTGCTGCTGCTGCTGAACTGGTTTGGTTCCGCTGTTTGCTCCACGAAGCACCACAGTACGACCTTTCGGAGCCTGCGGCATCACCTGCCGAGGCACTGGTGTCACCTGGCGACCTGCACTCTGTGTGAGCACCAGTCTGCGTGGCATCACAGGAGGCTGATTCGCTACAGTCCCTGGCTGAGGGGCCCGGACAATCCTTTGCCCCGGAACAGCAACCTGGAAATGTTGGTCAGGTTTATTTGGGCTGTTATGAGTACAGGAAAAGTGTATATATTTGTCTGCCACAAACCGGAAACTGAAGGCATGACAGCACACAGACAAATGTCATATGATCTTGCTCTTATAACTATAGGGTTTACAGATCGCAGAGTTCCACACAAACCCGAACACCTCGGCTTAACTTGCTGCAGAACTCTGCTCTTAATATGAACTTAATATCCAACTGGCTGTATTCCACAAATGCTGCAACTTCAATATTTACCTCCAAGCAATGCTTTTAAGGGCAGCTGTACTCAGCACATCACCTCCAATGTAACACACATTTCACGGTCTAGAACGGCATATAAATGAGTCATGAAGCCTCAAATGACATTACCTTTCTACATTTACTAACTTACCACTTAATTTTCTGGACTTTGCAAACTTCAAATTTGATTTTGCTCTTTCACTATTTATACTTCAACACATTATTCATGCTGCATGTTCCCAAAATTCTGGTCACTTTTCAACAAGCAGAATCCAAGGAACAATACAGAAGGAAGTGAAACTGTTCCATGATAACCACAACAGGACTCGCTCACAAGGCATAATACTGGAAAGGAAAAGAACCTTGCTGCAGCCACTAGTGGTTTGTGTGTTACCTTCGCCGTGGGCTCCCTCTTCATTTCCTGTTGAGATGGCGGTACTGACACCAGCTGCGGTTGGTGCAAGACTCCTTGCTGACCCCTGCCAACACTGCATCCTCTAACTGTGCCCCTTCCCCTCTTGCCCCTAACCTGCCACACACCCCCAACAGAGGCAAGCATGGCTGGTGCTTGTGATGGCCGCACATCCTGGTGGAACTGCTGTTGCTGCTGAACGCTGGCACGGATCTTCGTGCTCTGCTGAAGTTTCTGGTGTGCTTGTTGCTGTGGCATGACATGGCGAATTACTGGGTGGTATATCGCAGGCTGTGGCTCTACAGTGTTGCGATTAACAATCGTTGCAATTGCGTTGCCCTGTGGAGGATCTGACAATGACTGGGAACCATCGCCTGAAACAAAGAATAGCAAGTGTTACCATTATGAAGTTCCTCCAGCTTGTGAGGCAATCATTAGTCTAATGTCTTAGAATGGGTGACAGCTGCTTCTCAGCAATTAACATCTACAGCTGATAAAATACTGTTCAACAACCTACAAACCAATCATCCAATCACCCATTCCCTTTTTTGGAAACGCCATCTTAAATATCGCTGAACAATACAACTGCTTGTTATGAACAATAATCCTACAGTGGTATTAATCAGCTCCATAGTAAGGGATTGTCACAATCAATATACTGCAAAGATCTATTACAGAGCTCACAAAAGCTCAACTTCAGATACTGTTTTTAGCCGGGTGACCCCAATCCACACTTTCAGACTCTGTTTCTCAAAGATCCATGTTAACATAATTTTTATATCTACATCTTTGTCTCCCAAAATCTCTCCTTTAATTAAGGTTTTCACATGAAAAATTATACTGTCATATGTATTAGTGACTAATAACGTGGGTTCTGGATTTGATGAACGGGTTTATTACTCCTGATACACAGCACCAATAATTGCATATAAATATAGCACTATCCCTATTTACACAGTTTCCAGTCCACCGCTGCACATGCACTGGGATTCTCAGTTTCCACTAGTCGTCTCCTAGCAATGGACATCAACACAGAAAGTAGCATGTCAACTCACTATGAAGTCTTCTTGCTATTTTGTCATCAATCACTCTGGAACCTCGGAACTAAAAATTCTTTTGGACTCACTCCTCCAGCTTGTGGTGGACTTGTAACTGCCCCGAACGAATTCTGTCACACTTACTTATATAGCCTCAAAACAGACATGGACCTACAGTAAACACATCACATGATCGCTTTCCAGATAGTCTACTGGGACGTCGTTTAGATCTACAGAAAACACAGCTTCCTCTACTGTTGCGTTAGACTGTGTTTACTGAGCTGTTGCCTGGCAACACGTTGAGCAGATCTGTTATAATATGCATTTCTAATTTCACCAATGGTCTGGCCATCCTGTCCACATGGATTTATTCATCCTAATAAGAAATAAATCAATTATAAGGAAGTCTCCTGCTGCCAGGTGGAAGACTAACTGGGCAGTTATTAATCTGTCACTAGGGACATTCGCAAGCGGCCATGAGAGTAACAAATGCATCCCCAATAACTTTATCAAGAACTGGCTAACTGTAATGCTTATGTCATGATGCTGTCACAATGGAGACTATACAGTGGTGATGACAGGATCACAATCTGGTGGGATGAGAACTGGAAGTGGACACCAAAGGACACCTCACCCCATTCCCACTTCGTCCACAACCATGTCAAATATTTTAAATTACAAACCACATAACTAGAAACTCACTAGATTCTACAGGGTTCTGATGATGGTGTACAATTCTCAGAATTACTCGATTTTTGGACTTTTCTCCACTGTCCGGTATTTCAGAAACTAGAGAACACAACATTTCGGGAACTGCGTCCGTTTCTGTCCTCAGGTGAGGGAGGGGACACCTACTCTGTTGGGTCCCTTACAAAAAGCTAATCTCAGTCACTCAATTTCAATCCAGTGACTGAGATTAGCACATTCTAAGGGGCCCAACAGAGTAGGTGTCCCCTCCTCACACCTCATCTAAGGACAGAAACAGATTCACTTTCCGAAATGGTGTGTTTTCTAGTTTCTAAAATACTGGACAATGGAGAAAAGTCCAAAAGCCCGGTAATTCTAGAAACTTAGAACTTACAGATAATACAAACTACCAACTCCTTCAACGTCTCTGTCCGCATCAATATAACATCACTGCAAATCTGTGAGGATGTACTGAGACAAGTGCATGTAGCATGAACCTAAACACTGCTGAGACCATAGTTTTGCTCTCAGCAACAGACATGTTTGTTAAAAAAAAGTTCTGTTAATGATTATGTCCTCAAAGTTATGATCACAAAAAAACAGAATCTATTATAAAAGATTATTAATGCCGTCCAGTGTAACTGATAAATGGTTTTTCCTTTCTTTAATCTTTCATCCTCTACATGTTTTGGTCAGAGCGACCACCCTCAGAAGGATATATCAATACATGTGGAAACTACTGCTACAATGTCACTGGTCATTATCTATACACACAGACACTATTATTACAGTGTCACCTTGTAGAAGTGTTTGCTTTCATCCGTTGTTACGCAACGGAACCTATGCAACGGTCTGTTCTAGCATTACTATGGAAACGACTCCTGGATTCCGAACATGTGACATGTTTTTAGCTGTCACAGGCGTGACATCTACATAATAGGTACATAAAAACACGTGCATATTCGAATGCAACATTCTGTCAAAATTTCGAAGCAATCGGTGAAGAACTTCTGGAGATCTTCGACCAGAGACAAACCAACAGTTACATTTTTATTTATACAGATTTATAAATAATTATAATTAGATTAAGAAAGAAAAAATGATCAACCACACTGGATGGCGTTAATAATATTTTATACTATTGCTAGTGTGACAGACGAGGATGAACAAAATTAGAATCTATTACTCTCTGATATACACAGTAAAGGTAAGGTAAAGTTGTCCCTGTGCTTAACTAATAAAGCACTGAGCCGTGAAGGTGTACGGGGGAATAGATGTATAGATCCATATTTTTTTGAACTCGGGACTAGCTGGAGGTGAGTGGCCAGCTTCACGCACCTGCTGCTTTACCTCTTGGGGAAAGAGTCCCTGGTATCCACTGGATAGGAGGTTGGGTGGACCCCAGAGCTGGTCTGGACAACACTGAGAACAGTAAGTTCTTGACTCTACCAGGAAACGAACTCTGACTCCTTGGTCATCCAGCCCGTAGCCAGTCACTATGCCATCTATGTGATCTGACATATATGGTACAAATGAGAAAGTGGTACTGTGATCATGAAAATATCAATCTCAAGATTTTTATATTTTGCATTATCTGGGACCCCCGAGTAAGAAAAAATGGTTTTTCGAAAGTCTGTGTGTGTGTGTGTGTGTGTGTACATACATCTCACTAGTACCTGAAACTGAATTGATTTTATCCATACTGGTATTAAAGAGTTACAATTTTAGCTTCAAAAATTGGATTCCTTCTAATGGGACTTAAAACACAAAATGGTGATTCTCTTAAAAATGTATCCAAGAATTTTCATTAATCATGGTAACTTATGGAGAACATTCCCTTGAATAAAACTGAGGTCACGGTATGTATATTCAGGAAAATAACGGTATGTACACTAGAGGTGCAAATGTGAAATGTTGAATTTCTTGAAATCAGCTTTACTGGTCTGACAAGGTTTCACTGTCATTCTGTATGTAATAATCAGCATCAGTCCACCAAGCCACAACCAGTTTTGTTTCCAAGATAATGAGATCAAGGTGAACTGTATATTAGGAAGCATGTGCAATGTCTCGGCACTCATCTTTTAATACAATAAATGAAATGAAACTGCTCACAACCTTCTCTACTAACGCCGCACACAGCTGCTCGCTGCTTACCTCCAGGCATAACATCCACATCCTTCTTCTGCAACTCTCGTTGCTTCTCCAATGCTGCCAACTTACGTCTCTCCTCTTTCCGCTGCAGGAACTTCTCTCGTTCCAGCTTCTGCTGCTCAATCTTCTTGCGGTACTCACGTGTCTCCTCGTCCTCCTCTTCCACAGGCTGCCAACAGAAATACAGCAGTACAGCCAACCTCTGTCACCACACGTCCTCATATGCAGCAGAACACAGAGAACTGAAACTGTGGAAGTGAGTTCATCCCCGTCCCTCCCTGGTCTTCACCTTCACTGGTCCAGTGATTGAGACTAGCTCTTTCTCATGGGCCCAACTGAGTAGGTGTATCCATCCCTACCCACCTGAAGATGGAGACAGATCTGGTCTCCGAAACGTCGTGGTCTTTTGTCTATTACATACCAGACGATGGATGAAGTCCAAAACATGCCAAAAAAAGTACATAATTTTCCATATATATAAAATATATTTAAAATAAATATTACAGACTGTGATGAGACTAACATTTCTTTTTATACGAGGTGTGTTCAGGAAATAACGGGAATTTTAAAATTTCGCGGGTTTGGAGAGTCCAATTGTCAAAATTTTTTTTTTATTATGTTGGTATACNGTTTGCGTGAGGCAATCCGAAAAAAACGCCCGGATTTGTGGAAAAACAATTCATGGCTCTTGCACCACGATAATGCACCTGCTCACACTTCGTTGCTTGTTCGTGAATTCTTGGCCAAAAACAATACTGTAACGATGCCCCAGCCTCCATATTCGCCAGACATGGCTCCGTGTGACTTTTTCCTATTTCCAAAAATAAAGAGAACCTTAAAGGGCCGTCGTTTTACAAGCATAGATGACATTAAAAGCGCATCGCTGAAAGAGCTAAAGGCTATCCCAAAAATCGAGTTTGAGAAGTGTTTCGATGATTGGAAGAAGCGCTGGCGTAAGTGCATAATATCGAATGGGGACTATTTTGAAGGCGACAACATTAATGTAGACGAATGAATAAATATTTTTTCCAAAATACGGAAATTCCCGTCATTTTTTGAACACACCTCGTACAAAGAGACTTCTAAACCCTTTCAGGACCAATCCCATGTATATTCATGACTATCTAGCATGTCTGCCAGGTCAGCCAGAAACATACTCATTCCCAGTGTCTGCTTCTGTGCTGAATACACTCACACGATATATTCATTAAGCATTTAACCTTTTGCATGTTATCATGGAATGTAAGTTGAGGAGATATTAAAATAATAACATCTGAATTATTTATTCCAATCTTTCAAAAACAAAAAAGAAAATCTCGTCTGAAGGGTATGTCCATGCTATATAAATGCGAGATGAAGGAGTTAAAACAAAGTTTATTTCATGCTTCATGTGAAGATGTGACGACACAGATTCATAACAAAACAGTAAAAAAAGCAAAGGTATCCCTGTAACCGGCCATGGAGGTCCTTAGGGTTGTGAGATGTTGAGGTTCTCATATTTTCTAGACAATCAGCTCACAGATGGTGGTAAGGTTGTCAGCCTTACATGCCGAGAATATTCATTTTACTCATTTCTGTTAGAGGCTGAGTCGACCCCAGGGCCATAGTGCGGCTGGAAGCATTGGGTAAATTGAAAAAAATCCAATGACCTCATCAGGACTTGAACCCGCAACCTTCTGGCTTGTAGCATTGTGCCTCAACCAACTACACTACCGCGTACCTGATATGGACTGAAACTATAGCCACCTCTCAGAATCATCCATGGTAATAATGTGATATCATAAGATATCTGAGGTTCCCACAGAGATGGGTATTATGGTTATAAGGTCTTCTGGAATGTGGTGACATGTACTGTGGAAAACTTGTACTCACACTTCCAAGGTTGGAGTATTCCTCTGAAATAATAGTGACAACCTACCACATTTCATGACACCACATTCCGCAAAACTGTAATCATAACTCTCAGTTACCATTTGTGATGCAAGTCACAGTACTGAAGTCAAATGAAAGAGATATTTGAAGCCTTCCACCCATCAAGCAATGCTGTAATGGAAACAATATCAGAACAAAATCTGAGATTGTTTGTTTATACTTCTATTTAAGGATGCTGTCAGGAGCTCAGGCTGTATAACGTCGCATGATTGGCCAACACTAAATTACAGGATAAGAAAAGAAGTGGGTCATGGCCTATTTTAAGGCACTACATCAGCATTTGCCTAGAAGGACTGAGAAAATCACAAAAATTCGCAATCATGATAGCCGGTCTTGAGACCAAGATTAGAACCTGGGACTTCCCAAATACGAAACGGGAGTGCCACCCACTGAACCACAGCATGCAGCAAGAAATATCAATTAATGTTACAAGAGGGTTTTTACCTGCTGCAACTGTGAATTCATGTCAGGAGGCAGCATATCCACAGTTTGAACCTCGTGCAGGTTGCTCATATCTGGCATTCTCTGTGTCGGCAACAAAAGATTGGTGTCAATTAAATACTGTCTAACATCACAAAACGGACAGAAACACACAGCTATCAGTTAACAGAAGTATACTTCCTGTTTCATACATATACAGAATGTTAACAAAATGGTTACAGGCTTTGAGGTGTTGTAATAATCACTTCAATGAGCAAAAATGTCCCAGTCAACATACGTCCGGAAACCAGTGTCTGCTGAGAGATCTCTACAGCAGATGCTCTGCATCACACAGCGGTGCACACTTTGTCGAAAATTACTGGTTTCACTTGAACCGTCTGATGGGAATTCTCCAGTTGTTGCTGTATTTGTATTGTATTGTATTGGAGAGAGTGGGTTTCCCCATGCACTTAGACCAACTGTTGGTCCATTGTGCATCCCCCTATGATATTCTACCAGTCTCTATTCCCTACCGGTACTGGTGCGTGCCATCAGTCCCGAGTCAGCCAGCGAGTTTGGCCTCTACTGGCTCAGCGGTATCTCGATGCTTCTCCCATCTACCAGAGGCGTTAGAGTCTACTGTTGGGTGGGAAATGTCCTGAATTTGGCTCAGTGGTCCCCTTGGGACATGAGGTTCTTTTACGTGCCGTAAAGCTACGACACGGGACCCACGGATTAAAGTCCCTCCCGGAGGACTTGTTCCCTGGATTTTTCCGCCCTTAAAAATTCCACGACCTCCGCCGGGTTTGAACCCGCGTACCTTGAGTCACAAGGTGGGAACAGTTGTTGCTGTAACTCCTATATATGTCACTGATGAGTGCTGAATAGAACAAAACCTCTAGGGGTCCCCACAGCCAAAAATCCAGGCGATTAAGTTCAGGAGATTCAGGAGATTGTACAGACCAGATGAACGGGCCTCTGTGTACCATCCACTGTTCATCAATAGTCTGGTTCAGGTGCTATCTGACAATATGGAGAAAATGTTCTGCCCCATCATGCACAAACCGCATGTTCCTGTTGAGGAAGATGCAAATGTTCCAAGAATACTGGTAAATCATTCATCATAAGACTACAGTACATGGCACTTCCAAGCCTGTCGAAAAGGCAACATGCCCTAGCAGCTGATCACCTAAGATGCCTGCCCAGACATGAACTCACCCATATCTCAGCATGCACTAATTTCTGGACATATATTCACTGGGACTTTTGGCTCATTTCAGTCAGTACAACCTCTTAAAACCTACACCACTTTTTTTAATGCCCTGTATATTACCATCTTAAATGCAACATTTATTTTCTGTCTCATATACATCTAACCTTACTACGTTTCAACCATACACTGCCATCATCAGGTATATGTGAATCCTGTGAGCCACTGTATGCTCAATTTTGTGTCACACGTCCATAGTCAACATTAATTTTTTTAAATTATTTGTTTATGGAAATAATTAGAAGTCCATTAGAATCCTGTTGCGCTGCATTCGGTGCCACATTGTGGATGATCTGTGTGTTATTACAGCTGTGCGTATAGCCGTGTGTGCAGCGCTTATATCTGAATGTTATGTGCTGCAGTGGCTTGTCTTGCTGTTCTGTCCGTGTGACACAACATTCACAGCCTCCGCACATGGACACACAGATAATATTAGTATGAACAGTGAAGGCAGGAACTGAGATCCAAGCAATTAGTCTGGTGCTGAATGCTGTCAGCACTTGCATGCTACATGTGCAAATACATAAAAATTTAATTTCAATTCCACTGACCCAGACGGTCCGTCACTTATGCCACAAAACCCACTGAATAGCCAAACAGAAATACCTTTTTCCTTTTTGTGGCTGCATCAAACCGAAGCTGTTTGAACTGAGCACTCCCTCCACCACCTGCTTCAAATGAAGACCGCTTTTTAGGCGTTCGGTTTGATTTCTGCTGATGCACCGGGATGCTGGGCTGGGGCCTGGGCCGGATCATCTGCAGCTGCTGTGGAACATTCATCTGTATGCCAGGAGGGAACCGAGGTGCCATCGCAGATGGTCTGCCACCCTGGTTCATATAGCCAGGGCCTGCTGGATGGCGGTACGGCACCGGGCTGGGCTGACGGAACTTCACCGGGCCCAACACACTACTTGGCGTGGGTAACCGATACATTCCCTAAACAGAACAGTTCTTTCAAAAGGACACAGCCTAAAACATTCAGAAATAATGCTAAAATCTGAAGTACAAGCACTCTGACCACTCTGCACACTGTTAAAAACACGCACATGCCCGCCGTGGACTACTGAGACTCACAAAACAACACTGACCATGGGAACATCACATCAAAAGCCAAAATCAGTGCTTCACTGCCACCTCCTATGGTGTTTACATGTATATTACACATGCCAATGATGTAGCTACTCACACAATGAGTCTAGGGTGCTCCAAAATACTGTTAGCAGTTCTGGTTTCCTTCTGTGTTATTGTGGTGCTGTGAAGTCTGTTGCAAGGTAATGACTAACAATGATTTTGTACTTTGAAGAACAATAAACTTCTGAACCTGCTTACTTGTGTTAAAAGTAAAAATCCTAATAAAATTTAAGTCTGTCTATGACTGAACCTGCTGATGCTACAAGCATTTAAGAAACTTCATTTCATACTAAGAGGACAATAGGCAGCCATACATGCACAGCTTCCTCTGAGTTTTGGACTGCCACTGTCCAGATCTGTGGAGACAACTGTGCTCTGCCAATCTGGATCCATTCAGACTTCTCCGACATACTTTAGCCACAGTTGCTGGACTCTGCTCTCCATACACACATGGGTTACAACTGTGGCAGCTTCTATTAGTGATGTTTATTGTTCTGGCTGGTGCAAAATTATACTTATTTCCATATAACCAACTTTCAACCCACCCTGAAGGGTTATTAATTGTTATTACCTGTCTTAATTACCAAGTAAAATTACCCAATTCAATCTAATTTATCGATAAACTCCATGCCCAATATTCCGTAACCTGATCAAGAAGTCTGGGTCAACAGCACTTTATAAAATTCATTCACATGGCTAAGTTTTGGAAAACTGCCCTAAAACTGACAACATTATGCTTTAACTTCTAACAGATTATAGCAAGTCATCCCAGAAGAAAGTACTTCTTTCTCTCAGTTTCTGTAGCACAAATAGGGCTGTGTTTGTGATACAAAATTTCAAGCTTTCATCAAAATGTCTGCGAACTGGATCTGCTGAAAGGAATCATTGCCTTATGAAGCAATATGACAGAATCTATGTCAGTTCTAACTTTCTATAGCAGTTACAGCACACAGTCCATTACCTGACTGTGATACTGTGATGGAACAGGATGGCTAGCCGATATGAGTTGCACACCATCGTCAGCGTTGACCCCTGCAGCACAATGCCACACACTTGCCTCCATCGGTAGCAGAAAAGAAACACAGCTCAAATGTACATATTGTCAGGGAAGATACAGCTAAATGTCTGGTAATAACAACTTCTTGTAGTTTTAAAACTAACGACCTGACAAACTGAATTACTAGAAGGCATTACGAAAGGCAAAACACTAACACAGAGTATGTATATTGAGTTTCCCATTTAGACTCTCTCCATTTCACATTTGTCACTTGTCTTGATGTTCAATTTACAAGTTCTGTGTGAAACTTTTCTGTTGCACAGTGGGAATTGCAAAGAGAGATGCGTGTCTCAGTGGGTGAAAATATATGCCAAGGCTATTCAAGAACGGAGGAGTCAAGAAAATATTTGGACCTAAGACGAAGGCAGTGACAGGAATAAGGGAAAATTTCATTATGTGGATTTGGACCCTTAACCAAATATAATGGTGATTAACCCAAAAAGGGTGCAATGGGCAGAGCATGTAGCACACATCTAATATGCAAAATTCATGCCAAATTCTGGTCAGAAAACTTGAACTGAAGAGATCATTTGCAGGACCAATATATAAATGGGATGATATCATTATTATCATATTTTATTTATGGTTTATGCAACAGGATGATCAGCAGCTCAGACTATGGAGCTGAATGACAGGATTACCAGTGCGTAACAAATTGGGAAGGCTGTGAAAGGAGGCAGTTATGGCCCCATATAAAGAATTATTCTGATATCTGCCTAAAATTCTTAGGAAAACCACAAACATCTCGATCCTGATCAAGATTCAGACAGGGTGCCCCCAGATACAACTTAATTCAGTCTGTTTTCTCAATGGAAAATAAATCTTGGAGGAATACTATACTAGGAACTGAAGAGGACGAATCTGGCAGCAGACCATCATCAAATTCATCATAAACTTCTGCATTCTGTATATCTTGACCAGCGTACAAAACTGCATACACACTTTCACTTTGCATATATCTGTGTTCTATGGCTTCGTGGTAAGATCACTGTTATATTCTTTGATGCCAGAAATAGGTATCACCAGAAACATTAGGAAAAGTTAGACAAATGGCATACTGCATACTTACCACCATTGGTGGTGGCATATGGTGACTGGCTGAAGAGACTGGCGGTGGCAGAGGGTGATAATGTTGCTGGGGTGGCAACATTTCATGGAACACTCCCTGCTGCTGCTGTGGCAACACTGTCTCATACTGCTCCATTCCAGTGCCATACACAGGCTGGCCATAGTTCATGCTTGGCTCTCCCATGCTATGGTTAGGATGGCGCATATCAGACTCCATTCCCGGGGGGACATGACTTGGCTGTGCGTACATATCACTGCCTCCCTGCTGCAAAGGATCACAGTTATCCTGCCAGTGGGGAACAGTGGGTTGCTCTTGCTGAAACAGAAATGGTTCAAAAGGGAAAGAATTACGTCTGAAGCAAAAGGTGCAGTGTGTTCACATACACTGGCTGCTCTGTAGGATTGGGCAGCAGACTGTAAATCAGCTGGACATCAGCCACAAGGCAGGCAGGTTGTATGAGCTTTTGACACCACATACTCTGATGTGCAATTACTAGGTATATATTTTCAAGTGTTAGTGACTAGACACATTGTTTGGATTGGTAACTGGATTTCCTGAACACTTATAACTCGTAACTACAGGAGACTGTAACAATTACATGGATCTACACACTCTATAAATCGCTACTCCAAACATTACGACTTCTATATCTTCACCAAGCGTTGCTAGGTAACGGCTCCCAACAATGGGCATTTCTCTGCTTCTGAGCTCACATCCTCACTGAATGGCAGCCGGCTTGCAACTCACTCTTGACGGCAACTAACTGGCTTGTTCCATTGGTCCTTGTTATATAGCTCCAGGACGGACTGCACAGAAAACAACGCCTCTACTCTTACATGATATGTAAGAGGGTTGTTGCCTAGCGATGGCCTGCATGTTTCTTGATGTGGTGTGCATTTACTGGCCAGTTGGCTAGCAATGGTCGCCTCCTCTGGCTCTGATATTCTCACTTTCAGGCATTATGTCACAATATCGTTACTGTGGTCTTCCGGGCTGACACATTTCACTAGATGCCTATAACCAAACTCTTGCCTTAAATGTTTCCTTCCACATCAAGCGATTTTGCTTATGTGTTCATGAGAAGTCCAGTGGTGACTGCTACTTTGTAAAAAATGTATTGTAAAAATGGTCTACATTTTTTCTCGTGTCTCAAATGCACGTTTGCTCAACAAGCTTTCTTGCTACAGAGAGACTGCCTCTCCTGCTCCTCTTACGGTATTCATATTCTCAGAGCAAAGGATTGGCCGCTCTGATTCATCCTTGGCTGCAGGTCACCCACGTAACACTGCAAATGGGTTACAAAAGGGAAAGGGTGCAGCTAAAAATGCTCTACACAGATAACTATGCAAAAATAAATGCCAAATCTACTGAAACCTGGTCTTCTTCATGAAAAAACTGATGTTATGAATTTTGCAAAGATACAGCAAAGTGTGTGAACAAGCATCCATTACCATATAGTCTGACATTTCGCTTTAGTCCACATCAAGAAGCACACTTCTCATTTTGCTGTGTCATTTGATTTCATTCACTGGGCTATGAAAACGCATTTCTGTTGCACCTTTTTTCAATATTCTTACCTTAAAATTTAATTATTTCACAAAACTCATGAGCAACTTATATGCAGCAAAATGACCAAGTAACACGGGCCTTAATCCCTTCTGGTCCATTTTACATTAAATGGTTTCCTGGGGCTGACAACAAGAACATGAAGAGCTCCCTCCACATCCTGAATATAGAGAATTACTAATTCCATGTCCTTCCACTGTCATCCCATCAATTCTGTCATTACAGTCTGCAACAACCGTGAATGAACCACAGTGCACCAAGTGCAGGGAGAATAGCAATGTCTGCTGTGCTTCCCCTTCAGCACACTTTCCTCTGTGCCCTATCCATCTGTATAGCCATTCTGTGTACAGGAATGTCGGCAGTCATAACCTTTCTCGGTGCCAAGCACCATGGCCCAGTTGACACAGGCAAGGGCTGGCTGAAGAGAGGTGAAGCCTCAAGCACTGTTTTCCCCACCATCCATGGGACTTCTTCCTGTGGTCTGAACACAAATCAGAATGGCTTCACAGACTTTCATGCAGGCCTACCCCACACAGTGCTGGAACTCCTGACTCATGCTAAGAGGTGGTACTCACTGTATATGACTGCTCTGGAGGGAAGTAGTCTCTTTGTTGTGAGGGTGAGTCATAACGCAGGGGTGGTGCTAATGGGTGGGGATCATGCTGTGGTGGTGGGGGCTGAAACTGCTGCACTGTGTAGCCACTGCCTGGTGGGGTGATCTGGTACGCAGTTTCCAAAGGTTGGTAGGGTGGCGGCGGTTGTGGTTGCGATTGTAGTGTCTGATTGGGTGGCATCTCAGGATCCCAGATCAGCCTCGCTGAAATGAACAGAGAAGAAAATACAGGCACGATACATTTTGGGGTTCTCAAGCATCAGACCTCACATGTCCAAAACCACTCATACAATTAGCAGATACACCATACAGATGAGCCACATACATTCTTCACCATCACAAACAATTTAGAGATCAGCCATCAGCAAATTTCTTCATTCTGACTCCACTATGGACCAGGTCAGAGACAAACTCTCAGCTGAGGGCTGCAGCTGTGACATCATAGCAGCCTGTGAGGACTGTCGGACGATGAAGTCTTTCTAGCAAAGCGGCAACCACATATGGCTTCTACTTTAACATTCCCTATGGAGGACAACTGTGTTTACTGTGCAGCACGAACTTTATGTTAGAATACTGTGATATAATGGCTGAAGGCCACAACTGTGGAGCCAGAAGAGAGGGCCATTGCAACAAATACGTGATTTGACAACGGAAGAATTGTGGGAGACGGTGTTTTCTGTGTGGTCTGACCCAAGGTTATAGAACGAGGACACCAGCCAAGTTGACCATCAGTCATCATCATGAGTTAATTGCAGCCATGAATTATTTGCAAGCTGTGAGATGGGCAAAAACCAGCAACTGTGTGAGCAGAAGAGGATACTGATGAAAGCCATTACCAGGCAACAACCTCTTTTCCAAGGACAGTTTCCTATGGGAGTCTACCTGAACTGAGGAATGATACAGTTGAGTTAAGGACAATGGCAGATAAGTATGGATCATTGGTGATATGCTCAATGGTTTGGAAGTGAGATAACACCATTACTTGTACTACAAAATTCACATGGGCTACCTTACAATTAAGCTGGCTTCAAAGTGTCTCAGCTTCAGCCCAGTTACACAGATGAATTGTAAAGGGTTACTCTTAGGACATTACAACCAGACATCAATGGGCCAGACATGTAGATGAAATGGAAGAAACAAAAAATACACACATAATTTTGGACATATAATAATTTTGCAAAGTAACAGAACTGATGGAAGGATGCTAATATGAAATATGTTACCTTCAGGATGTGGCTGCACAGCACCTCTGAAGTGGGGATTGATAAGAATCTTGTGAGGAGGCTGCTGTTGGCTCAGTTGTGGTCGACTGTAAATGCCTCCTCTAGCACCCGGACGGCCAGTTGGGCGCACAAAGCCATCTACTCCAAAACGAGGCCCAGCAAACCCCTGCTGTTGCTGCTGAAGTGGATGAACACTGAAATTACCAATGAACTGTGGTCGAGGACCTCCACCAGCACCACGTCCTATGAACACCCCCCTACCCCTGCGACCCCCTCTCCAAGCTCCATCTCGTCTCACCATCTGCTTACCATCTTCCACACACACATTGTCTGAAACAGAGTACACATACCACTCACAAACAATACAGCTTAGTGAACTACTCACTCAAGGATGACCTGACACATCTGTCTAAACCATTTCATTCAACACTAAATTAGAGTCTACTGTAACATCTCCTGATCAGAAGAAAATCATATTAGGACAGTCAACAAATCTTTACAGCACATATCAATGTGCAAGTACTTGAGAATCAAAACAGATATTCACAATGAATTTACTGAAACAGCAATCAAATTCAAAGAATGCTCACTACCACTCAGTTCAAAATTTTTCTGCTACGAATGTGAAGAGTTCTATCTTTTGAGACAGTAGGACATGCAGTCCAGAAGAACTCTGTTACATCCCACAACACTGGATTCTCCACGTCTGCTGTTGCCAAGAACCTCAAACCCGACATAAAAATGTGAGGATTAAAATACACAAAACTATGACTTCACCTGTTTTTTTCATGATGTTAAACCTGGTCTCTGACCCTATGAAAAGAACATGGATTCAGAATGGGGTGCTGAGGACAATATCTGGACCCAAGAGAGCGGAAATAACAGGGGGACAGACAAAGTTGCATAACAAGCAGTTTCACAACTGTAACTCATCAATTAAGAACACAGGAGGAATTATGGGACTGGCACGACTAACAGCATGAGGACGAAACTAAGAGCATACACACAGAGTGTTCATCCTAAAACCCACGGGAAGAGACTGAGAGACCTACGTTCCATTATTCTTGATTTATATAACAATACTTTCAACAGCTCAGATTATTAGTAAACATTAAAGTTGTGGCTTGCTCCGAGGTACTACCCTGTGATTCTTCTCAAGGGACTGAGGTAAGTCACAAGGACCATAGTGAAGGCAGCCAGTCTCTAGGCGAAGTTCAGAACCTTGGATCTCATGAATACTTGCCCATCATGTGAACATTGTGATGAAACTCTTCTGAGTTCCAGGAAGCCAAGTCATTTCTTGAGGGGCTCAGTAACTGTCAATTGCACCATCATTCTTGTAAATGACTGACCAGAATGAAACAAATTCTGAACCAAACACAAACTTCACCATTCATTTCTAATTGTATGACACCACAATTAAGTGGCTGCCATCATAAAGTGATGCAACAGTGTGGCAGGTATCAGCGTGACTTTCACACTGATCCTGCTGTTGCTACTGGCAACAAAGCATACCCAATGAATCTGGAATGTTCCCATAAGACTTGTTTGGGGTCTTCAGGGACACAATGGTGGTGCGCTCTGTCTTGAAGCGATCGCCTCTGGACTCTTCTGCGTCTTCTTCCTCTTCCTCAGACTCTACCCCAGGCACACCTTGAGTGACTGATATCTCTTGTCCCTCCACATACCCGGTCTCCTGAGAGATATGTGCTGTGCCCATCAGCTCCCCTGTGAAAGGGAAATCCGCATTCAGCAACACAGCCGGCACAACTTAAAATTATGTCTCCTCTCCTGCATTCCACTTCAGACAGACAACATTAACACCCGCAAATGCAACACATCTCTTCACTCCAACATAAGACCTGGCCTCATTTAATTGAGTACCGCTTTTTCCTCTCCACCCTGAAGTTGGAGGCAGCATGCTCCTTTGAAGTGCTGGCAATGAAGACACTAACCTCCAACATCACTGCAATGAGAACCTCAAATCTCTCTTAATGTTATCTATTCAAAGTAAACAGACTCATCACAAACACGTATGCTTGAAACAAGAATGGTTCTCACCGTGCAGCGTCATGCTGGTCTGTACATACAATGCCAGGCTTCTGTATCTACAGTCTTCAGTTCATGACCAGCTGGATTAAATGTGCAGTGTGTTCTGCATGTCTTTCCTTGCTTCATCAACAACATAATGGAAGTTTGAAATATGCATGCATATTTATTTTACATCCCTGTCAGTAGCCCAGAATACATAGTGTTACATGGCAAGACGATTAGTGAAAATGAACTGAAAGGGGAGGAGCTGCTGAGGTCCAACTGCACATACAACTGTGGCGCCAGTCTGGAGGGCTGGAGAGATATCACACCAGACTGCGAAACTGACACAAAACCTGAACCCAAAACCTTCTGTATCTGAGGAATACCAGGCCAGCAGCACCATTCAGAGCCCATGTTAAAATGCAGTATATCTCATAGATCCATCAACATCTTATCACAGAGGGTGGAGGTGTCTGCCTTATAAACTGAGGTAGGGACAGGCTTGGGAATGTTGAACAGGCTGTAACTGCAAGCTTCATCACAACAGAAACAAAGCCATTATACAGTAGGCTCTCAACAACCTACTTGCAGATTAAGCACAGAACTTTCAGAAGGCCCTGGATACTGAGTATAGATTCCTGTAAAGGTTTAAGTATTGCCCATTATGACATCCATTTCAATAATACATATCAGTCATGCTTTACAATGATTTGCAGTAGACTGTACATCTTCTCAACCTGCATAACTTTCTGTTTCAGTAAACTACTGCCTTATGCCCCAACCTAAGGGTTGCTTTACTCTGCTATAAACATATTTTCCTCCTCCTTTAGCGACAAGCAGTATGACCAGTAGAACTGAGGACTGAGCTGTGGGTAGAAGCAGGGGAAATGCAGGCAGGTACAAGCCTGTTGTCACTTCCCCCTTCGCCCGGCTCCCCATTCTACAGAGATTTGCAGAGCTGGGTTTCAAACAAGTGCAGTCTGGGGTGCTGTGTTTTGTGTGCAGCATGGACAGTGGGTATTTCCCACAGTTTTGCATTATCCATTCTTTTTCATTATACATGCTACTTCTCTCCACTGCCATGAATAATCAAGAGTTCACTTGTAGTGCAATTTTCCTTTACCTGTTGGTTACACTGATGGACTGAAGTGACTTACATCTTTTGTGCATTCGTGGCACATCTTAGGCCCCTCATACACACACAGTTTGGCCTTCCGATTGACCTTACACGCAAAACTTCCAGTTTTCCCTCTCCCGTTCCTTCCCCATACACGCGCAGATATACCGGCAGGCTTCATGCCACAGTCACGGTCTTCCAGCCTATACTGCTGAGTCACACACGTCATGTGCTATGGTCCTGCAGGTAGAACTGACGGGTTTCCTACAGGCCAACAGTCCAAACGAATGGCCGGCCAGCAGCACCACACGCATCAGTTTTGCCTTTCAGCCTTCAACTGTGCAGGCTGAACAGGAGGTCAAACTGTGTGTGTATGGGGGCCCTTAGCAAGATTAATCCATCAAGAGTTGAGTTGTCCGATAGCACAGTAAAACTTGAGCTGCATCAGTACATGAATGTTGCCAACAGCTACCACTGCCTCATATCATGTTGGCCTCACCCTGCTGCTGTTCTACACGATGCAGGAGGTTTGAGTCCTTCATGTGCCTCAGCTTCTCTGGCTCTTGGGATTCCTGAAGCTCCGAGTCCAAATCATCTCCTTCTGTGACACCCAGATCTAACACATCATCAAAGGGTTCGTCTGGCTCCCTGCTGTTAGAATTCATGAAACACAATACAGTATGCATGGGTGAGCGGACTGTGTCCTAACTCTAATTTGCAATCCAGCCACCTACTTAAACATGCTAGACAACATACCTGAACGAGCAGAAAATAGTTTCTGGAGTTTGAAATTTGGAACAAATGGGTGACAGCAGAGTACAGATTTGTAATCAACATAAATGTTAATAAAGTTCATACTGCCACAATCTTCCACTATTATCCCATGATATTACAAAAGGGGAGGCTTTAGAAAACACATCTTTCCACTTACAACCCATCACCATCAGTTACCAACTGTAAGAGGTCACAAACGGTTTCATTTATTTATGTTAAATTCTCAATTTGTGTCACATTATTACTAATTTCACTATGTTCCCTCCCCACCATAAGGAATATATAAAAACAAGGATCCAGAAATAATAACCTCATGTTACTTCTTTGTGTTTCTTGCATGTTTCAAAACATAAATGACTAAATAAACAAATAAATAATGAAGGAAAAACTGTATTTGGGCACTGACCATCATAGTAAGAAATTTAAGGCTGCTTAAATCATAATTTTCTTGGCATTTCTGTATAAACTACTATATCAACTTACCGATATCCATCTCGGCTCCCCAATACGTCTTGTTCTCCTAAATAAACTGTACGGTGACTTGATCCCTGTAATATGGAATACAATCATGTACAGCATGGTTTATCTGAATGTGCATATGTTTTCATACAAGTATGTCAACAAACATGCTTTATTTCAAATTTTCCAGTAAGACTTGCATGGAAATACTCACTTGCACATCATAATCATCTGCCAATAAGGCATCTTCATCTTCATTTCCTAAATCATAGTCAACATCGTCGCCTATATCTCCTTCTAGAAGTGTGTCATCACTGTTGGCAAACAAACCCGTCAAAGAGTGAATTAAGTGGGTACTATCTTCTGGAATGTGATGCTGCAGAGTATAGGAGAAATTTATTGGCGTTTCAAAAGAGATAAACTGTCTCAATTTTCAGGCTTGAATAGTAAGCCACGCAAGCAGCAAAAATGGTTTTCATCCGCCTGCTTGGCTTAGCTTTTAAACCCTGAAGATGGAAGCCAAACTTTCTTTCGAGCCGTCTGTAAACTTCAATCAGACTACACGAGCTCACACCCTAGACAATATCTTCATAGTCACAGCAGTGAGAACTCGAAACTCAGAATGCGTCAAGAATATGCGGAAACCAAGTATGTATGAGATATTAACATCGTTTAGTGCACCCTTCCTAACCCAACCATTTATTGCAAACATACACGAATACGAAATTTCGCCATTATAGTGCTATGGCATGCTATAAAGCCATTTAGCATGTCAGCCTGCTTCAAAATTCGTTAATAAAGACACAATATTAATCTGAACCGTTAGACCGCAAAAATTAATCAAAAATCTTAATTGACGCTTCCTTACTTGTTGTCAGACATATTCGCCAGCGTTCGCCAGGTTCGCTAGGCATCCCATGGGAAAGAGAATAGTCACGACCCGTTACATTATTTTGAGGGAGCCGAACCGTTGTAGCTACCTAGCTACATATGTACCGTGAAAGGAGGCAGAGTTTGGTAGAGTTGAAGCAGCTGAAGTGATCCGTGCTGTATTCTCTGTTTGTACACACGTATGGAACGTGAAAATTTTGCGTGAAGTTCAAGCATAACATGGAGTGTACTAATGTTACTCACATTTTCGTTTTACAAAACGGTTATACATATCCAGATTTTTCAGTTGAAGATATGCTATGATATAGGTTAATTCAAGTACAATAAAACGGACTGAGTTTGTTACCAAGAAGATTTGAAAGAATCTCGCAAATTTCCAAGCATAACCTCAAATACACAGAAAAACAGTCTTTAAAATGCGCTACGATATCATCTGATACATTATATTGGAAGTTTCGTTCTTACGTAAATATGATGCAGATCGAAACAATAGTATGCTATCGAATTTGCAGACAATTCATGCATCATGTTGTAAGACGCAGAATACAGCATGTAAGGCTCGGGTCAAGTTTAAAAATTGCGATGAATTTTATGTATCACAGACGTTACTCAAGTAAAGTTACAGGCATTGTTCTTGGAATTGAAACAAGTTGTGATGATACTGGGTGTGCTATTGTGGACAGTAATGGAAAGATCCTAGGGGAGGCATTGAATTCTCAGCAACAGATTCATCTCAAGTAATAAAGATATTCATTACTCCTAACTAATATACGAATTGGATATGTCAGCCACTGTGTAATTATACATGGTTCCTTTTTTGCAGCCATGGTGGTATAATTCCCCCAATTGCCCGTGACCTACACAAACAACACATAGAACATGTAGTTCATGATGCCTTGAGGATAGCAAGTATCGAGCTTTCAGATGTAGATGCAATAGCAACAACTGTGAAACCTGGTATGAATGGATTCTGTACTTTTTTGTGTCACATGAGTCAAGTGGGTAGTTTAAATTTGGTGGGAAAAAAATTTAATGTTACTGGATCACACAGAAACTGAAGCAAGAGAGAAACAGTTTATTTTCTCAGTGAGAATGTTCATGGCTGTAAGTTCCATGTTCTTGTAGTGGTGTTCTCCTTGTTTTATTTGAAGGCTTTAACATTCTGGATTTGTGGCCCTTTTGCTAATAGTGAAACAGCAATGTAAGTCATGGAGAGAAAATGAAAATTAATACTGTGCCTTCTACATGACAGTACCTTATTTGTAAAATATAATAAATCATGTACACTGCTACTTTATAACATTAATACGGAAGGCTCAAATCTTTTACATGCATTCAAACGTTATATTTCATGGTTCAGAAGTTAGTCAGAAATTAGCATTGGATATGGAATAAGTCATAAAAATACAAAGCATGTATGTACAACACAGCTAGAGCATTCACTTAAAAAAATCTACACTGGTCATATGAGGTATTCAAATGTTTAAAATATATCCACACACACACACACAGATATAATTCCTACCCACTTCAATGGCCTGGTTTTGATCTCGGGTCAGGTCATGTGGGTTTTGTGGTGGACAAAGTGACATTGGAGAAGATTTTCTCCAAGTAATGCTCCATTAAAATTCTCCATACTCATATGTCATCCAGGGCTGGCACAATTCCTCCTAATTCCATCAAATTCTCCATAAGCATTATCACCAGTACAGGTACAATAGGACATATGGAAGCCAACGTGCCGAGGGGACCTAATATGGATTCCACCTTACACTATACGAATATCGTATGAAATCTTAACTATTGTAATCTATTGTAAACAATTTTAAGTATTGTAACATTATTCTCTTATTGTAATCAGCCAATGTACAGTAACTGACTTGTCCTATATCATGTAACAATGATCTATAGAGACAAAATAAATAAATAGGCCAGTTAGTGGCCAATGTACCAAGTGGACTCAGTCTCACCCCGTCCCAAGCAAGGTTACTTATTCATTTTATTTTTATTTTATCCTGTAGATGAAAATAAATTGATATAGGACATATTTATCAAAATACATTAGTGATTGTAGTATAAACTTTTTAGAAATAGAGCTTATTCTTCACACCTGCTTGTCAGTAGCCAACATTACAGAATTCTTCATTGAATAATATAATCCCTTAATAATAAGTAAGTCCTTCAATTCCTCTTGAAACTGGTTGTTACATATTTGTTTTATGTTGTTAAGCAATTTGTCATAGAAGATACAACCTGCTACTGATGGTTTACTGTTGTAAACTTCTAAATTATGTACATACCTATGATAGTTGCTGTTATCTCTTGTTTTATATGTATGTACTTGTTATTTACAGTGCGGTTACTCTTTTCTTCTTCATGTCAATACTTATCATTTCTGCTATTTACACAGCAGATCACGTGGTTACAGTGTTTTAATACAGTATCTTGATACCAGCTTCGGTACCAGATGGCTTTTGTATTTGTATGACTTGTTCCACATCCTACAGTCATTCTGACTTACTTTGGATCTATGGAATGTGATGTATGTATGTGTGTATGTGTGTATACTGTAATCTATTCCATTTAGTTCTCTTCCTCCTCAGTCACCTGGGCCCATGCTGTAAAACTTTTTTTTTCAGATTTATCTATTTGGAACATATTTTCCATAAGGAAGAGGAAATTGGTTGTGTTGTTTTTCCAAGAGATAAATGAGGTTATGTCAGTTTTTGTTGTGCTACTGACATCCATCAGGACAATGGATATTGTCCAGAAACATAATATTTTTATTCCTCTAGTTGCTATCTTAAAATAGTTCCACAGATTTCACATATATCTGATAATATTAAAAGAAAGTGAAGATTTTTAGCAAGTGTTGCACTTCTATTTATTTTCAGGAGATTTTGGGTTCAAAATTAGGTCCAACTGTACTGAGTGGCATTTTCTCTGGTTTTTCTCCATTTCTCCAAGTCAGTGCTGGGTTAGTACCATGAAGCAGGCCACGGTTGCATCCACACTGTTCCTGAACCATCCTTGACAATTATCCTGTCACATGATGATGGTGAAGAATTGCAATTAAATAAACAAATAATCGAGCTGGAATTCATGGAAGAGTTTTGTACTGATCAGTTATTTGTTACAGATATTCCTGAATTTTAATTGCATTGCTTATTTTGTATTATTTTTCACAGCAATAGGGTTCAAACAATTTAATAGCAAAAGGCATAGGATACCTGATCATAGTCTACAAAGAATATCACTGTTCTTTTCAGGGCCTCCTTTTCATGTGGTCTTTTCTTCCTTCTGCTCAGTTTTTGTTCTCCCTGTCTGTTTCCTCTCTTCTTTCTTTTCTCTCCACATGGACACAGCCGTTTTGAGAATCACAGTTCCCTCTTCAACAAAACATTCCCTTCCAGGGATACTGATTCCCATTGTCTCATGGCATCTCTGTATCACATGTAATTTCTTCCCTGCTTGGCTTACTACTCTGTCCTCAAGATGAAGGAACTGCTTCCTCTGAATCACTGGCACCTATATGGTGTAACACCTCAGAGCACTGTAATCTTGATTCTCCACTATTTTTTAATTCTTAAAGGAATTACATATGTTTTAGGTCTACCCCTGTCACTTGTTGTTGGCATGAATTATGGGAAGCACCTGTCTCGCACATCAGGGAAGCCTTTAATTCCAGTACACCACATGGAGGCCCACGCTCTCACGATCCGAATGGTACAGAAGGTATATTGGCTGGTTAATGTTAATGTTTGCTCTTCTATACTGTATGGGATGCACAAGAGCAGATTTTGGCTGTTGCAGGATTCACTTGGCCTCTCACAGTTTGTTTTCTATTTCTGTTTTACTGTACAATGTTGCCAGACTATATAGTGCAGAAAGAATGGTAGGAAGACAAGCGAATAATTAACTGGAAAGTATATGGAAGGACATGGTAATGGCAGATTTTATGTACTTTCCTGCCACTTCTCTGGAGGAACTGAGGTAAACCATGACAGACCTGTCAGGATAGCCACAATTCTGGCCAAGATTCTAGCCAAGCACCCCCTGAATAAAGGGCTAGAGGAGTATTGCTACACTAACCTGTCTGGTGTCATGGTTTGTATTTATATAAATGTGAATTCAGTGACAAGTTAAGAATGAAGAAGTCGCTGAAAAATAAGAGAAACAGAAGTGAAAGAGGTTCGCATTGTGGAGAATGGTAAGATTTCCATCATGCTGTGTAAACTGGTAAATGGTTACCTATTTTTCCAAGGAATATGCTGCCTTCATCTTCAAGGTAGAGATGATAGATGCAGCATACTCCACCAGAACTTTGATAAGTGTCTACACAACATGGTGCCACATTCCATGACAGTATGACAACATATGTAAGAATTTCTTTGTCACCTCTTGTGCGTCTTGTATATACCTACATAATTGTCTTTAAAACTTGACCCTGTGCAAATGAGATGGAAATGGGTTGTATATAAATGTCACAGAATATGTCATGAGGGGCTGTACTGGAGCTGATTAGCCTCATGTATTTGGGATGGAAGATGCAGGGTCCACTAAAACTGATATTTAATAAAACCAAAACTAAGCTGAGTGGATGGCATTGAGAAGTTGCCAATTGAGGGAACCAAGCCCAGCAACAAGAGGTGCAAGCTGATTACTTGCTGTGGTAACTAAATTGGTTACCAGCTTGTGCCATTAAAATATACTCTCAGGACTCGTCCTTGGGGATAGTCCTCAACATTTAACATTACACGTGATGTTTTATTTTATGTCTATTTTGCTGACAGTCTCTCTGATAATGGCTTATCAATTCAGGTTGACTTCCCATTCTTGGTTCTTCTTATTTCTGGAGGGCACTGCCTCTTAGCTGTAGTGCAGGCTGTGGACAAGTTCTTGCTGCTGGGGCAAAGTTTGGATGATGCACCAGGAGAAGCTTTTGACAAGGTTACTATAATATTGCAGCTACTTACAGAAAAAGTAAAATTTGTATTAAGAACAAGAAATTATTAATACTTTAAATTTAGTATGATGTAGTCTGAGTTATAAAGACAGAAAAACATCTGAATGTAAAAATATTTTTTCCATTGTTAGTGACCAGACACACAGGCAATTAAATGATTAAAGAACTTGCTAAACTAACATTAATGTAGAAGAGAAAGGTGGCCCATACAGAGACTAATGAAACGAAATGTGTTTCCTAAGGTGTGACAGAGGTTGTACACTTTGTGATAAAAATGGTATGAAGAAGCAGTGACAAATTTCACCAACAATGGAGTTTGCCATATCTCGGGAAAATTACCTTGTGAGGAAGGGAAATAAATTAACTGGCTCAGGACAGGGTACAATGATGTGACAAACCTTTGGTTTTATAAAAATGATGAATTTATTGACAATCTCAGGCTGTAGTATGAAGACGTCACCATTCATGTCCAAGACATGATTGCCGTCGCAGCTTATGTCACACGTTCCACACATTTGATGTACTTTTCCTCGTGCAATGTCAATTAACCTGACAAATTAGGGGTTACTCATCTGCTCAAGAGATTTCCTGCTTTTATGAAACCAATGGACCCTTTTATGTGCCTGCTGAGTCCCATCCTCACTCCTGGGAACCACTTCAATCTCAGACTCCACCCTGCTCTTCAGTTTTGAAGTGGTTGCTTCACAGGAGGAGTCCCCATGATCTGAGCCATGTGTTAGTCAGTACCCCTACCTCTCTTTGTTAGCATTTGCCACAGTAAATACCTTTCACTCTTGCCAGGCAGCTCGGCGACTGAAGTTGCGAAACCTGCCAGAGTTTCGAACATTGTCAGGTGGCAGGGCCATTGAGCTAGCGGCTAGCAAGAGTACAGATCCTCAGGCATTCGAGTTCCCCATGGTGATGGCACAGTACAGAGACTGCAATTTCAGCATGGCTGGCATCAAGAACTGTGTCCGCAGACACATTCTGCAGCAGGAGAAACTGCATGGTACTGTCCAATTAGAGAACGCTGCACAGTAAGCAGCAGCAGGAGACCACTTCTTTCCACATCCTTCTCAGTTCATCATGTGTATTCAGTGCTATTCAACCCATCCAGTTTGCACAAGTAATTAACCCTTTCTTTGCCAAGTTATTTAAACAAAATTAGAATAGAAAAGTGTCGAGGATGCATGTGTATGTATGTAACCTAATTTAACTTCATGTAACGCCTTCTTGTCAGCTGGTATGCGTCAGTACACATTCTGACAAACAATTGCTGCATATTGGCAAACTTTTCAAAAGTCGCATATCTGCCAGTGCATTGTATATTTCAACTTCAGTGCTAAACCCAGCATCAAACCACAAGCAGATATGTTTTTAGGAAAAAATCCCTGATCTAACATAACCTGTCACAGGGTACATATGTAATGGCAGGGGTCACATATGGTAAGAAAAAATGGTCCACCATTATATAATGCTGGTGGTATGAACATTAGAGGAAGTAGCACTACCAAATTTAGTTTAATTTGACTTTTGGTTCTTTATTTATTAAATATACAGTAATCACTGTGGTCGAGTCTCTTTTATACCACTGAGCAACCTATCTCTGTCTTATCAAGCAAACTGTCATTTATGAGTTGAAATATTCTAGTGTGTGTGTGTATGTGGAAAGAAAGAGTTCATTCACTAACTTACGATATAATTTACATGCACCTATTGTACACTACTTCTGTTATTACAGTCAGGTAGCTTAGTATAGTCACTAGGCTATGTATGGGATGGATGACTGGAGAATCGAGGTTCCATTCCTGGCAACATAGAAGATGCAATAGAGAAGATAGCAAGTGCAGTCAGTAGACTAGACCACAAAAAACCAGCCATACTCGCAGGGGATATAAACTGTAGAATTGATAAACCTGACAAAAAAACCCAAGAGGTTACGAAGCTACTACAGGAAGAAGGATTCTGTCTAGCAAATAGAACAGATATGATGACATACATAGCGCCGAATGGATGCAGCTGTATTGACCTCGTGTTCAAGAAAGGAAACGAGATAGAAATAGAACAACAAACAATAAAAACATCATCAACTTCACCACTAAGGAAACATCTACCGATAAGCACAAGATTCAAATATGGGGGCAAAGAACAGCAAATGAAAACAGAAACAAGCACCCTGAAAAAAACAAGAAGAATCGAAAAATACATATTGGGAAAGCAAGAGGACATCATGCAAATAATAGAACAAAACGAAATCGACGATGCCGCACGGAAGATGACTGAAATACTGCAGAAGGCTGCCCCAACAGCCAAAGAGAGGAAGGCCAAAATATGGTTCGATGCAGAATGTTACAATATGAGAAAAGCAACAATAAAGGCACTACACAGAGCAAGGCAAACTCAGAATAGCAACGAACTAAAAGAATATGCAGAAAAAAGAGAAAGATACAAAGCACTGATAAAAAGTAAGAAAACGGAACACATCGAAAATGAAGGGAAAATGATAGCCGAAGAAGCCGAGAAAGACCCGTTCGTGGCAACCAAAACAACCAAGAAACAAATGCCACAAGAAGTAAATATAAAGATATGGGAACAGCATTTCACCAAGATACTTAGCCAAAATACACCCACCAGCAGCCCCCGAACAGACGACGTCAGGGCATGTCAACCAATCTCACATGCAGAAGTATTAAAAGCTATAAAAAGAACACAAAACAAGAAAGCCGCAGGACCAGATGGAATATATTATGAACATATAAAAGAAGCAAAGGACATTATATCAAAACCACTAACGGGACTATACAACAGATGCCTCGAAACTGGATCCATACCACAAATTTGGAGAAAATCCCTGATGAAAGTACTGTACAAGGGAAAAGGAGACCCAGAAGACCCGAACAACTACCGAGGGGTAGCGTTAGAAAACACAATGTTCAAGATACTGACCAAAATCCTAACTGACCGTTTAACAACAACAGTAGACTCACTTATCCCGGAAAATCAATTTGGGTTTCGGCCACAAAGATCAACGATACAAGCCATCACAGCACTACTAGAAGCAATTGAAGAAGCATTAAGACACCCACGAGGAAAATACCATGTAGTTTTCATAGATTATAGCAAGGCATTCGACCTACTCGACAGGAGTATAATCACAACAAAACTGAAGGAAATAGTAGGAGAAGAGAACACAACAACAAGACTAATAGGAGACATCCTCAAAAACAATAAAATCATAATAAAAGACACGGTGTCAGAATCCGAAGAAATAACCCAAACAAATGGCATACTGCAAGGGGACCCCCTCAGCCCATTACTATTCAATATTACAACAGCAGACTTGGCCAAAACAATGGAAAAACACACAGGGGTACAATTAATTATGTATGCCGATGATATGACAATTGGAGGAAAAAATATTGAGGAGCTACAGGAAGCCTCCACTACACTGGAGAACTGGGCAAGACAAAACAAACTTCAAATAAATAAAAACAAAACCCAACTAATGACTTTCAGAAAAGGAGGAAGAAAAGGAAAAAATGATGAAATAAAATTTAATGGAGAACACATAAAATCAGTAAAACAATATAAATACCTCGGCTTAACACTGCAGTCTACATCTACAACATTCACAGCACACATAACAGAAAAATGCACAGCAGCCATCAAAGCTATATACACCATCCGAAACCTGCAACTATTATCGCTAGAAACAGCAATGAAAATATTCCATGCAAAAATTTGTCCCATACTACTATATGGCATAGAGATAACCTGGGAAAAACTATCCAAACAAAACCTGCGGAAAATGGAACAAGTGAAGGCAAGATACCTTAAACTAGCGCTAGGGCTTCCTAAGAACACACAATCCAGACTAACATACGAACTCTGCAAGGAAAATTTCCTATTAGAAGAACTCAGATATCAACTGCCAAGCACAAAAAACTCAGAGGAAGTTATCAAAGAAAGAAAACAAAAAAGAGAGGAAATATGGGAAGAGTTCTACAGCACTGATGCAATGACTGACAGAACCTGGACAGGACCCAACAGAAAATTACGACACACAATTACTAGGTTGGCAACACACGGATTCCACCACAAGATATGCAAGAACGAACGTTTCCACGAAGCAAATGACGCGTGTGTGTGTAAACACTGTGATAAAAAGTGCAGTAGATACCACATTACCATATGCAAAAACTTAACCACATCAATAACCGAATACAGTCGCGAATAGAAAACAATTACTCTATGCACATTGTGCGCATTCCCGTATTATATATTCCTGGCAGGGGAGGAGATTCTCACCACCATTGAATGCAAGCTCATTCCGTATGTACTCGGGGTCTCTTTCTCTGGAGTTCAAGTGGCTAGGGATGTGTGCCTGGTTATTAATGCTATGCACAAATTATAAGGGGGCACCCACTAGTGTAGTTCTTTGAGGCACTGTGCTACAAGCTGGAAGGTCATGGGTTCGATTCCTGATGAGGTCATTGAATTTTTCTCAATTTACCTAATCCTTCCAGCTGCACTATGGCCCTGAGGTCGACTCAGCTTCTAACAGAAATGGGAGTACCGGGAATCTTCCTGGGAGCATAGTGCAGCCAGCACGTAAGGCTGACAATCTCAGCACCATCTGTGAGCCAATTGTGTAGAAAATGTGGGAGCCTTGACCTCTCACAACCCAATAGACCTCCACAACTGGTTACAGGGATAGCTTTACTTTTTTTTTTCTTTACACAAATCACATTTATGGGACATTTATTTCCATATTATCCTTGCCCTTATTTCTCCCACCTATTAAAACATGCATTTATCAAGTCTGCTTCACATGTAATACATACCATATTGTGTCTTTTGGGCTAGAAATCAGCAATTTGCTATTGAAATTTAATCAACACGGGCTCATCTTTAAGCAGTTGACTGTTAAGATCCTGCCTCTTTTTGGGAACCTTTCAGTTCTAAAATCTTCTTGGGCACTCATCTACTTCAAAGATGAGTTGCAACCAATGTTTTGGAAACTGCTGTCTCTGTTGTCAAGGTGAAAGTGGGGAATGTCCATAAGTTGCTTATATAGGAGTCAGGCAAACAGTGTGGTGCTTAGCCTTACCAGTGCTCTGGGCACCTCAGATGTATATAACCTTCCAACCGCTGATAAGATTGCTTCTCATACCAGGTGTCGAAGGAGATGAGTTGATCCCAGATGTATTCAACCTGTGTGCAGGCATTCAGATGGCAGTCACACGTCACTTGTGTCAGCGTTTGCAACGTGGTATGGAGTTTGTGACCCTGCAGAACCTTCTGCCCAGAGATAACAAAACCTTGGTTTGTATATCAGAGTGTATGTTCAATTGAAACATGTCTCTTTGATTGTAAACAGGTTAGATTTGTTTTATAAACTTGTTTTGTGACAAACACTAACTTACTACATCACTCTGTATGTGGTGCTGAGTGAATGTAGTTTGGCTCCTGTTTCTGATGAACAGGTGCTGTCTGGAGGTGTGGCATGCAACACATTCATCAAGCGTGCCATGGGGCTAGTCTGTCAGCACATGGGCTACTCACTGGCTGTCCCCCCACCACATCTTTGTACTGACAATGGAATCATGATTGCCTGGAATGGCATAGAGAGACTGTGTGCAGACATTGGCATCACTCATGACTTGGACTCTGTGGACATTGACTCAAAGTGAGTTTACACAAATATGGATGTACAGATGGGTATTTCAGTGAATGTCATGTTAGGCTGTCACACTCATGTCTGTTACTTTGATGTAGATGTCCAAAACAACAAGCAGTAAGTGAGAAGTCCTCCATTTTTTTCTCCATATCACCACCAGACTAAATGAGGTATCTGTCCCAGCGATGTACTACGTGTGTGATTATGACCCCAGTGTTTATACCCACTGACACACCTCAGCTTTTATCTGATCATTATGGAAGTCATGTTTGCTACTGTAGTGCTTCTTTGGTGCTAGGCACAAGATCTGAGCAGTCTGAGTGCAAGCTGGTGTTGTCATTTTGGGATACCCTGGGCATTCACCTTTCTTATTTCCTTGATCACTGGGCAACAGTGAATGCATACTGATATTAGACAACATTGTGCCATCTACAGGAAGCAAACCCTGAGTCATAATTTATTTTTTGTATGACACAGAACAGGTTATTTATTTTGGAACACACACCTCAGTTGCTATGGCATTTATGCAAAGAACTAGACAATATCTATTTGACATCCATGTTGAAATATTAAGTAAGTTAACATATCTTCATTTCAGATGTTTACTTATTGACCCCCCCACCCCATCATTTATACGAGGTGCATCCACAAAATAAGTTGCATTTGCAAATTTTGCCGCTGCAGAGCTGCGGTCATGATGGTGTACATGCATTCAGAGTTTACTGGTCCTTTGGGAAGGCACAGGCGCCATTTGAAGACAATCGATCTGTGTTTACGCATCGTCCTGTGTGTTTACAGTGTTCAAGAAAATCAAGAAGCCTGCCACATGTGATATGCAGTCTGTAATCGTTTTTTTGAATGCAAGAAACATGAAACCAGCTGACATTCATTAACTTTGTGAGGTGTATGGAGAACAGGCCATGAGTGATTCAGTGGTACGGAGATCGGTAAGACACTTTAATGAAGAACACGAAAATGTGCATCACGATCCGCAGAGTGGCTGACTGTCTGTGGTTAATGAAGATGTGTGTGCAGTGAAAGAGAAGATTCAAGAGAACAGACGATTCGCCATTTCATCACTTTCCCTGCATTTTCCATAAATTTCACGATCACTTCACAAAATTACGTCTGATAAACTATGTTTTCGGAAATTGTGTTTGTGCTGGGTGCCGAAGATGCTTAAGGATACAGCAAATTAGAATCTCTAAATAAGTGTTGCCTGAAGATGGCCTCTTGAGGCATGTAGCAGCATAATAACATGTGTGTGTGTGTATATATTAATATTTCAGTAATTTTAATAACATTTTATACACATAACGATCAGTGTATGAATTAAATGTGAATTAATTTGTTGCATTATAGATGGAAAATGAAAAAGACTATAAACGTACATCAATGCAACAGGATGCTCAAAATATGGTGGAAAGTATGTCAAAAAGTAGTGTACGGTATTTCATATTTATTTTGCATTCATACTGTTACAACTGCAACACTTGAACAAGTCAACTCACCAAATACATCATTGTCAAAAGCTCCACAATCCTAGAATGTATCAGACTATAAACAAAAACTGTACTTGCCCTATAACATCACTAAGAATTTTAAAAATATAACAATAACTACTACAATTCCCTTTTCTTCTCTTTTTTTGTTAATTAAAAAACCTTGCTATGCTTCCTCATGTCCCTGTTGAATGTACATCAAACAGCAATATAAATGGTTTGGATATAAATTCTTGTTTTTTTTAGTAGCCCATCAGAAAACCTACATACATGTATGTTGACATATCTGTAGATTGATGTTCTTGTTTGCAGGTGCCCTCTGGGAGAGGACTGGACAGATAAAGTAGCTAAGGCCAGCATTAAGTGCAAATGGATAAAACTTACACCTTTACTTAAGGAACACTCCACCAGTCAGGAATAAATGTGCATGTTCACTGCTATAGCAGAGTTCCAGACGTTTGTGGGAAAGCTACGCATATCCCCAAGTTCATGATTCTAGATAAAATACACGTACATGTATCAACACACAAAACGTTTCAATTATGTATCATCATCAAAAGGAAAATAAACATACAGTATGCTTCAAATGAATGTTTCGTTATTTCACTTTCTACAAAATAAAACCCTACATAGTAAAATAATGTCCTCTGGATGTACCACATTGTAGTGTGGTAGAAGTTTCTGAAGAACGTACTTCCTCCATCTTCAGGGTCAAATAATGATGCTCTTTGATCCTAAAGATGGAGGCAGTATGTGTCTCTGAAATGTTGGTAAACTATTGCTAGGGTATACAGCATCACAAAATAATAAAGGTGATAAAATCCATATATATGAGATGGGTGAGAATTGTGATAACCAAGAAAATCAGTACAGTAATGCAAAAACCTGAAATCTTGTATGAGTTGATCTACTTTTAATGATTTCCTGCATAATATATGTCAACATCATTTTCCTACTACTGGGCATGTTGAAACTTGTTGCTGATATTGCGAAACTGAACCCTTCCACTGTTTCGGAGATCTTTCTAAACATCTCTTTCCATTTGGTTGATGTTCTAAGATATCTTTAGAATCCATATTATTTCCAGTTTCTTCTGTATTGTTCTATAAATTCTGCTATTTGTGGTTAGCTCATTGTTTCTAAAATATAAAGTGCTGTCTGCTTTACCATCCTGAAGATGGAGGTAGTATGTGCATTCAGAACATTGGTAAACTTCTGACAGTCTATATGGTGTAACACCAGAGACAACAGTAATCTTCATAGTCACCACTATGCAAACAGTTACACTTCACTAATTTTGGCACGTATGTTTATTACAAAACTGTGTGCAATTTTTTGTTTCTTTTGTGGAGCTATACATCTACTCCCCCATACACCTTCATGGCATAGTGCTTAATTAGTTAGGCACAGGAGCAACTTTACCTTTTTACCAGTGCTTTCTCAACTGCTTATACTTGATGTGACTGCTATATTGGTTTTGATTAGGAAAAAACTGGTCATAGCCTGTTTCTGTAGGTACAACCCAAACATTTTCCAGACTATAAAAAACCACAAAATACCTGTGAAAAATAGTCGAAAATCAAACCTGATTGTCCAACCATGAAGCAGGTGTATTAACCACTTATGTATGATGTTAAATATACTCTAAGCCCAAATTTCAATAGACCAAGTACTCTAATTGCTCCTGTTTTGTCTGGACACACTCCCTGCTAAGTCACTTCCTTTATGTTGCTCTCTTTCTCATATTTCACATGACATGACAAGAACAAAAAAAAAATGGTGTTTGCATGTGAAACAAGTTTCCACAAATGATTTGATGAAATTACCTCTTACCTATCACAGATTTTTAGTGTTTTATTCATATCAAAGTTTTATTAATAAGCATAAACCAATTTTTCAAGTCCATTTCTGCTGAAAGAAATTAAAACATATTAGCATTGCATTATTTCACACCATTATGGTGAGCAGAGGATTTTGTTAGAGATTATTATTTGGTGTAAACTCTTAATGGTCACATACTACAGTATTATAAGCCTTACAGAGTAACAATTTGTTATGAAAAAAACTGGTTACTTTGTCTGCTCTGACCAAAGTGGAACATCTTGTATTCCCATGCTTTCATTTAAAAATTGACCTTATTTCACTTCAGGTACAATGGGACAACAGCACCTTGCAGTAGAGTGAGAAATTGACATATCTGCTTCCTATTTGAGAGGTCTAAGGTTCAAACCTCTGCTTTGAGTCCTTATATTGTGAGGGAGGTTTATCCTGATTTTCCTCAGTCCCCCTTGGCCAACAGTGAGATTGCACCTCACATCAGGGCAGCACTGTGTCATTACACATATTTTCCAACCCACTGTTCACTACTAAGAGTACAGTTCTATGCTACTCACATTGTCATTAGCTAATACTTACTTATGGAGCTGAGCTCTTCTTGAGGAGACGCCAAATCTGCAGCTACTCAAGAATTTCTCAGCATTTTATGCAACCCGAGGGTTCTTACCGTGTTCGCAAGATACCTCCACTGGTCCCTATCCTGAGCCCGATCAATCCAATCCATAACATTAAGATCCATTTTAATATTGTGCTACATGTCCTGCCCACCTCAACCTCCTTGACTTGAGCATTCTAATTATACTTGGAGAAAAGTACAAAGACTCATTAAATAATAAAGTAATTAAATAATTCACAACGCAAATCCTAGCTAATACTCAATGAATGCGAGCGATATATCGAAAATATCACACGATCAATCGGGATCGATATTATTTCGGGTGTACGATTGATAATCAGATATCGAGGGCAAGGAATCGTAATCATGTGTTCGCGAGCGAAATATGTAATCTGTTCAATTCAGTTATTTCTTATCATCAATTCGTTGTTTTATTTCGATAAAGTGCTTCTGTTTATGCTGTAATTTTTGTGATCTGTGACATAGTTTAATAATGATATTTCTATAATACATTGGAGACAGATATAAATGGAAATTGCACAACAGATTCTACGCCACATTCATATTCTTTCACACCCCGTTAAATCGCTTGAAGTGTTAAAGATGAACTTCATAGGACAGCGAGTGAAATAGCGACACAGTTATTGGTGAGTCATTTTGTATTATGTCAATTCACAAGTAAGGTAAATATCTGATTGTTTAGATTAGGCTACTGTATTCGAACTTGTTCCTCTGTTAGAGAAAGTATTTTAGACACTATCCTTTCCCATTGCCTGCCCTCACGCAGGATAGATAAAAATCTGTATGAAAGCCAAAAAATTCCATCAAGTCCTGCGTACTTAGAATTACTGCGTGTATTTATGGCACGTTCACAATCCACGGTTGAAAAAAATTGTCTATATTTTCGTTATGTCTGTCTGGTCTACATGCAGCAACTCTAGAAACGCTAAGCGAATCTTTATTAAATTTGATGTCGAAAAGTGTTATTAATCTTTGTTAGCACAACCAATGTTGGCAATAATCGGTCAACATTGACGAACCCTTTACGTGAAAACTTCCTTTCATTTATGCGCACACATCGAGTGTTACAGGCAAAATATTTATTAGAACGGAAAATATTCCGAACAATCGTTTTAGCGAAAAATGAAACATTTTATATCCAATACAGTTTTCCAGTAATTAGTACGGTTCCCGAAATAATTAAATAGAATTTTTTACTGTCACCTTATAACCTCAAAATCGTGTGGCTTAATTTGTTAAGATTTTATAAATTAGATCCAACAGTCTCATAAGCCTACTTGAAGTGGTATTCGGTAATATAGCCTAAATATGGATTCGTAGACCATACATCTGGTGACAAAAAATCCCTGTTTTCTTAGAGAAATATTAAATTATCTTTACAGAAACTCTGTTTAGTTTTGTTTTAAGCAGAGCAATAATAGTACGACATGGAGAAGATTATGCTCGTAATAAAAAAAAATTAACGCAGTAACGTAGCGAACACGTTAGAATTATTTCTATGCATACATTTCCTAACTTGCTATATTTCTTTTAGTAACTTATTTGTACATCTGAAAATGCTTCGTATAGAAGAAATGTCATCATATTATTCAGGGGAACGTTTCATTTTCTTCGTGTGACGTTGTCGACTGGTAACACATATCGTGTGGTTTCTCTGAGTTCTCACAGTCGAATTAGGAGATGATTCCCTGCAACCCTGGAGGGAGAAGTAACTTTGTTAAGTTTCTACCAGTTCCCACTTCCGCAGACAGACAGACAGACAGACAGAGGGTCTGGATGTACTCGTAGGTTACTCATTTGCTGCTCATTCGACGAGTTTCGGTAACTCTACTATAGATCGCCGATTACTTATTAATACATTAGAAAGTATGTCGAGGCCGAATATGAGATACTAGCCTAGAGAGACTGAGGAAAGCCTAGAAACCCCTCAGGATCCCGGTGGGAGTGTTTGCCATTTTTGCTTTTTTGCAGATTAAAAATAAATATTTAATCTAGACTTGGACATTGTTTCAACCGTATTAAACAATTAACTATACTGTGCCCAAACAATTCGTAGGGGCGCGTTATCGCCAGATGGTGATGTAGATCGTTTGTTCATCATTAGAAACTTGCCCTGTTCTATTTTCAGCACATGGTGCGAACTAGATCACCGTTCCGGAGATAACATTAAACACACATGACTTTTCTCCCCTAAGGCAGACGTACACTGAAGGATATTTCAGACAAATACGGTAAATCCACGCTAATCTGGTTACAGTAATCCGTATGTCGGATAATCCGGATCGAAATACGAAAAAAGATTCTGTTCACAGTTGAGTACATCGCTTAAAAGACGCATGGAATTTAGGGGCAAGAGGGATTCAAGAAAGAGAACTTCCAGGCTGTGCTGAGGGCAGCTCTAGAGACTGAAACCCAAGATTGGTTTGAGCTGGATGAAGGAGACCCTGGATTTCAGCTTCTGACAGGAAGAAACTGCTGCAGTGATTTTATTTGTATTTATTTTCATCAGCACTGCCCATATTAAATTTTCCATTTATCTACTTTGCAGGTTTCTTTGTCTTTTAGGGCTGTCTTTTGCTCCATTAGTCCGGACGATCACCCCTCCCCCCCCCATTTAATCCGGATTAGCGAGGGTTCATTGTAACAACCAACCCACCGACTCACCAGCCTGCTTGGTTTGGGCTGGCTACACTGAAGAGCAGGTTTTGTTGGCGATGCCACGTGATTAAAACATCTAGATGCTGACCCTTTGTTCGCACTCCCCCTCCTTAGCCCTGATAGAATTCCAGCCCTCGGATTTTATAACTTATAATTCACACGATCTGCTCATGTC